TTCAAATCTTTGCGCCTTCGTTTTGTTTTATTTCAAACAAAAAATCTTACCAGGAGCTGATTAGTCCCCAAGAGCAAATATCAAATAATAGAAACTTTTTGAAATGAGTTAGTTTGAAAAGCACACATGTATTAAAAAACTGTTTAAATTCCAAGTTTGAAAATGATCACATTTTCCATTCAGGTATGGTTTAGTGATATTGTACAAAAATGTTGAAAAGGCAATTTTCTAAAATTGAGATTTCTGTCTTAGCCATTATTTGAGCCATTTCTGGATTGCTTTCATACACATTATCAATAGAATGTAAAATCTACCCTTTAAACAATTCAACAATCTCGTCAAATATGATGCACTGACTGCTTATTAGGTAAATTCCAATGATTTATGCATTTAACTCTCTATCTACACAAAAAATCATGAAAAGTCCTTTAAAACGGAGATACAGGGTGTTCCAAAAGTAACAGGACTGGTGCTGGCATTTTGTCAATTTTGCACCGAGTGTCTTCAAATTTTCACAAATTGTACTTTGAAGTATTGCAACTAAAATTGTATAGTTTCAGAAAAAATGATGAAATGCGGGTAGAGTCATGGTTACTATAGGAACATGACATCACAATACCCGGGGCAACTTTTTTCTGAAAATGTGATATCTAACATTTTTGTATTACTAAAGAAAGTATCTTATTCACCTATTATAATACAACATTTCTTGTTTATTTTATTAGTGTCTTTGTTGTAAAGGTGTTGCTATAAAACTCAAATTCAAGTATAATTTCATAATAATAATATTTATTCAATTTCTTGGAATATCACTATGAATTACAGTCTGAACAATTCATGGTTGAGTTTTTGAAAAGACCCAATTTGAAGCCAGTCATCCACCTTGATAAAGCGCCTGCCCGCAGGTCACCATTAAAGACCACGTAGCTGTAGAGGAGCTAGGTCTTGAGTTCTAAAACCATGCATCATACTCTTCTGATCATGCAACATCCAATTTTTACTTACATGGAGAAGGGAATGCTAATCAGTGCTGTAAGATCTTTAAAAATGAGATTGAGCTTCTCCAAGTTGTTCAATCGACCATGCGTGACATGTCCTCAAATGGGTTCACTCATGCGTTTGAGTCATGGAAAAAGAGTGCTACTCTTCTACTGACCAAAGAGGAGCCTATTTTTCAAAGTACATAGGATACATAGGAATATCAAATTATGTAAAACAAATGTAATGCCCACCAGTTTTTGCATTTTAACTTTGATATGGGATGTACAAAATGGTTAATGTATCTTTCTGTCTTAATGTAACTTTCTGTGTGGAATGTTGCCCCGGGTATTGTGATGTCATGTTACCATAGCAACCATAACTCTACCTGAGTTAGATATTTTTTGTCGAAAATTTGCAATCTTAGTAACGATACATGAAAGTACATTATGTAAAATTTTAAAGACGATTGGTGCATATTTAACAAAATGCCAGGACCAGTCCTGTTACTTTTGGAACACCCTGTATAGTTATTCCCAAATTAAGGGGTGACGTTCTTGGGGTCACCTGTACTTGGACTTGAATTTGAATTTTGAATTTTATATTCTCAATTCAATTAAAAAAGAACAAATGGGTACCTGTATTTTCAGCACTATATAGTATATTTTGTTGTAAGGCATTCTAATTTGAAAGAGGTTTAATGTTAGAGCCTACGGAGTACAATAGATATCGTGTTATCTGGTTATTTCAATTTGTTCAGTTTAGAATTTCAGCCTTTGTTTCATTTTTACAAAACTAATTATCAACTGCCACTTCTATCGTCAAAGAGTATTCACATAGCCATAAAGACTTTATTGTACGCCATGATTAAAGATACTCTATTGAGACTTCTCTGTGGCATTTTTTCTTTATTCCTTTTTGTTTTGAATTTTTAACACCATAACATTTACTAACTACTCAATACGCAACTTTTCACCGCGTAGAATTTTAAAATTTTAAGTTTGAAAATTCCATTTTTATAATGGAGCTCAATGGGAAAAACTACATAATTTGAATTATTTTCAAACGTAGCGGCGCGATTTTGATAAAATTGACAGATATAATAAATATTGGTAAGACAAAATGTTTGATGAAAAATGAAGAAAATTCACCGTCCTGGTTACGCAAACTATAGAAAAATATAGATTGAAGGGGGTGATTATCATTTTTAATGTGCCTTTCACCACTACAAGGTAACCATAATTTTGGTACTGATTTGATTTTTCAATGAAAATCATTTCTATAGTGTATAGTCAGTTTAAATAATACAATTGGTATATTTCTTTACTGAACAGTGCAATCATTTATTTATTTATCAACAGTAATGCAAACTACATATTATACAGTTAGTAAAATATTAAAATAATTCTATTAAAATTAAAGCATTGCCAGAATGTGTTGACAGCTGGCAAAAAATTGAAGAATTTGAAGAAAAATAGCCACCCAAAGACACTTACACCTGCTAATTGCCACTTTGCAAAGAGTTTATTCAAGCAAGAAAACTATTTGGGAAAACGTAATTTCGGGTTGAACATGGTACCCACCACTCTGGTTACCTTAGCAACCATCTCTCAAGAACCAATCAAAATTGAGGTCCCAAAGGACCTTATACACCCTCCATTGGGATCTCCCAATGAGAAAAAAATAATTCATCTGATTTTTCAAAATGAGTATTCTGCTTTAATTATTACATTTATATGCACACTAATATCTTGTTGACCTATATTCAGCACTGTATTGATGTATAGGCCACTTATTAGGGTCATAATTCAATCATGAAGTGTAGAGGCATATGATTCCAAACCAGGAAGTATTTTTGTGTCTGTCAAAATCCATTTGCATCCTACGCATCCCTACATCTTATCCAAATATGTTACTACATCAGTAATGAAATAAAATAGTACATTCTTTGGTTTTACAAAGTTGTATGATTTTTGATAAGTGTAAAAGTTGTTTTTGGAGCATTTTTCTATAGCCATTTTGTAGGGAAAAAATGATGAAAAAATGTACAATCTTTTAATTTTAAGTATGACCTGAATCGATTGCAAACTTCATATTTGCACATTTGATGAGATAAACCATTAGTGCCATATTATGAAATTATTAAGTTTGCAATCGATTCAGGTCATAGTGTATTTTTGGTATTTGTGTGATAATCAATAGAAACCAATGGCCTCTATTGGGATCTGCTGATATCCTCATGTCAAATCAATGAAGCACAGCCCCATGTAAGGCAATACAACCTTACTAAACTAAATGGCCCCTATCTCAGCCTGTATGTGTGCCCGAACATTTTAATATTTTCCAAAGAGTTATATGACATTCTATTCTTCATGTTACACCTAACAATTATTCATTTTGACCATAGGGGTATTTGCCAATAATCGCACCTCTTCCTTTTAACATATAATGTATAAATGTATAACACATATGTGTACCAAGTGTCATTGTAAAAGTCCTATTTTCCTTTAAGTTATGGCATCAACTGCAAAACTTTTTGAACCACCTAAGTATATACCTTATTAGATGCAGTGAAGGAGTTAAATCATTGGGATATGAATAAATCATGCAAAACATATTTTGTACATATTTCTCATCATTTAGGGTTACCCAGTAGTTTACAAGCTGACCTTTGCAAAATATATTTCACTTACTATCCTCATTCGCTATCACGCTATCTAGTTTCTTTCCAAATTGGCCTGGATTGCCTGGTTTCTTGGTTTTAGCGAACCGTCCATTTCGTCGAACCATCATTTTGCTAAGGTTGTCTGTGATGAATATACAATATTCAGTTACATATAACTGTACAGCAACTTTATGCAACGGAAGGTAATTGTGTGAGAGCACATGAAGTACATGAAGTATTGACCCACTTGTCTCAGTGAATCTTATAAACAGTGCATAAAGTTTTTTCTATGTAATGATTGGCTCACAGTTACTTATAGTGTAAGTTATTTTATTTCTATACAGTGTGGAATAGAATGTATAAACTTTTACAGTTTCAAGCAAGTTTTAGTGTTTTCTGACCAATGATATATTCAGACTTATTCATTTCACGATTATGTAATACTGACCTACATATCTGTATAGCATATCTTTAAATAAATATTTCATTCAATTCAGTAACTAAATGTAAGGTCATTATGAATGAACACTCCTCTATTATAAAATTATATACCAAATAAAATCTTTTGATTTGGAGTTTTTAGAAAAATCATAATCTCAGTTGTGTGAACTTTGCATCGTCGGTTCCCACGCCCAATCACTACGTTCTATCCCGAGGTGAGGCTAGGTCCGAAGCTTGATGAAGCAGGATGTGAAGTTTGTGTGAACTCTTAAGTCTATCTCCCTAAAGTAGCTCGTTTTAAAAAGATGCATATATGTTCGTTAAAGATGTCAGATGTCGTTAAACTTAGCTCAATATATGTTAACTCTTGATTTGAATTTCATTAAACAAATGTAATATTAAAATGATCTTGCCTTCAGATTTCAGGATATCTATTGAGTAAAATATTCACCATTTTAACATAGAAAATCAAATTGTCTAACTTTTTCAAATTCAATTGTATCTTGCCAAAACAAAATGGAGGTATCGGACATGATGTCAGTTTATTTTTTCCAATACTAAAACAGTTTTTTCCCTTACACTACACACATATTATACGAATAATAATTCAAACATAAGGAGGCTTAACACTCCATGGGGGAGTTTACGGTTGATACATTTTTGGAAGGGTGTAAATTGTATGTAAGAAAATTACAAAAATGGTTTTATATGAGGAACCCCAATGAAGATGGAGATTTGTGGATAATATAAAAAATGAACCCCTGGTCACCAAATCCTGGCTACGCCACTGCAAACATGACGAAAACTCAATGCCTGATCAAAAAATATTTCTATTCAAATATGGAACAAGAATAAATAAATCAAACTTTCATTTAACCCTTTAGATCATTGTCTCAGCATTATTGGAATTATTCAACTACATATCTTCCTTCATCTTAAAAGAACCTGTCACGTGTTTGTACTGTGCCGATTTGGTCCGCGACCGGGTCATTGTCAACCCAGTTTCTCGATCCTTATTCTTTTCTGCAACTCGTGCTATCATTCTCGCCACATATTTTAGGTGCTCAGTCGTATAAACTCGTCTAGGAACGGCTAAGCGGATCAGATCTGAAGCATTTGGGCTGAATGATCCAATGTCCAAACACCTCACTCCGCTCTCAATATACAACAATCCAGCGAAGGTTAATCCTGGAAACTCATCAGCTGGTATCTTTGGGCATAGTTTATTAGCATTCAGGTATATGGCGTGTCCTCCTGCTGGAAAGACACCAGGAACACCTTGGCTAATTAGTTCTTCTTCAAAGAACTTCAGATTAGCTCTGCGATAACGCAGATAGCTCTCATCCAGGACCTCATACAATCCAACAGCTACTGCTTCCAAATCGCGACCAGATAGACCACCATATGTTGTATGGCCTTCTGTAGCAATGACATACGGGACACATTGATCATAAAGATCTTCTGAATTCATGGCCAATACACCACCTACAATTGCAAATTCAAGAATATATGTTATATCATCAATACATGTCAATTTCAAAAGGGAATCGTTCTACCTACATGCATTTATGTTGTCAGATAACATGCAGGGGTCATAACTTAATCGGTACACAAGCGTAAATACGTATTTAGTTTGGATTCGCTCATTATCTCTAAAATGTTTTTTTTTCTTTAAACAGTGCTAGCAGTGCATGTCTTACCCATGGTGGAATTGGCGTCTTTCTTTGCTGAAATCATACAACCATCAGCGTATGAGAACATTTCTTTTGCAATTTCTCTTGGAGTCATATCGCCATAGCCATCCTCTCTCTCCTTTATGAACCAAGAATTCTCTGCAAATCTACATCCGTCTAGAATAAAGGGTATGCCATGAGCTTTGCAAACATAAGAAGCAGCCTTGATATTCGCCATGCTCACGGGTTGCCCTCGCATTTTGTTGTTCGTCACTGTTATCATAACAAGAGGAATTTCTTCACCCTTTTCTTCAAGTACTTTTTTCAGTTTATCGATATCCATATTCCCAGGAAAATCAGCAGTGTCATCAGTTACCATGGCGATATCCAGTGCAATGCCCTTATTCAGAGATATATTTGTCTTCGTTGAGTCGTAGTGGTTGTTGTTCACAATAACAGAACCTTCTGTCACAAGTGCATTGAACAATACTTTCTCGCACGCCCGCCCTTGATGCGCTGGTAGGACATATTTATAGCCAGTTATGTCTTGGACCGCACTCTGATAGCGTTCAAAACTGGCAGATCCAGCGTAGGACTCGTCGCCTAACATCATTGCAGACCATTGTTTTGTACTCATGGCGGAAAATCCAGAATCTGTTATCAGATCAATTGTTATATTTGAAGCTAACATTCTATATGGGTTGAAATCTGCTTTCAAGATGGCATCCTTTCGTTCTTTCGCTGTGAGAAATGGTATTTCTTCAACACTTTTAACACGATATGGCTCCATCCCCGGCTCCATTTTGCGTTGCCTGTTGCAGGTGCGTTGTGATATTTAACTCCTCGAAACACTGTGTGAAATAAAGTAATTACTACTACATCCCGTATATATTTACCAATAGTTGGTAATTAAACACGAAAATCGCTTTAATGAACATTAATGGACACGTTTGTATATGTACGTTTATATCTATTCGGTTATTTATGCGTATTTACCTTTAGCCAAGCTATTTTGTATCTTGCTTCATCAAGTTTCGGACCTATCCTCACCTTGATTCACCGCAAATTATTAGCTATATCTCAAATTTGTCATATGAACCCACGGGACAGAACGTAGTGATTGAGCGTGGGAACCGACGATGGCTATTTTGGCCTTAACGCATGATCGAAGTTATCTTGTGCTATAAAAAAGCAATTTAAAAGATTAAAAAGTATCAAATTTCGGCTCGCTACAATTCTCCAACACAGTGGCGTGACCTAATACGACCTTTTAATGTTAGTGCTGACAGCTTAATGTTCAATTAGGTTAATAAGTTTAATATGGAAATAGGGCGCTTCAATCAACCACCGATACAATAGCTTGACTTGTGATTTATCAAAATATCATCGGTGAGTTATTTACTGCTTATTTAAAGAACTGCTTATTTCAACCATGCAACAATACCTCGTGGTATTTATCTGATTTAATGAAATCACTTCAGTCATATGCACTGCGTCATCGCCTACTATTACAAGTACGTGATCAAAGACTCGTCAAGATTCGCAAAATTCGAAATGTCGGAGGAAAGGTATGTTTGTTTCTCTTTTCTTTGTAAGCACCTTATGTGTGTTTTATTTTATCAATTCCCACGTATTGGGAATTGATAACATAGAACATATATTTTTCTCATTTTCTCATCATTATCAGATGTCAAAATGGTTTTCTTAAATAAAAAGTCTTGAATCTGGACTCTGGAGTCTTGGATTGATCTTGTTCAATTCACCAATCTAGTTTAAGCTTACTTTGAATGGATATAAAACTGCTTTTGATGTGGAAACGTTGTTATTCAGTTGAACTTTGTAGTTCTGGGAGTTCAGCTTTAATATTATCAATTATTTGCATATTCACGGGGGATAAGCAAAACGAGGGCGAAGCCACGGACTGCGACTCGCGTAATTCAAAACGAGGTTACAACGCATTATAGCTGAACAATGGCGGTAAGTCCAAACTTAATTTGGAAGGCATGTTAGGATTTGGGGTAGATTATTGGTTTGGATATTCTACACAATAGCTAGTATGTTCCAGTCGGTGATCAACATATTCATACTCCACCTGCAATGGCATTCTTGGTGCTCGGCTGTCCAATAGTTTAGCATGAACACAAATGAATTCGAAATCTGCCACAAAAAATGTAATTTTGTCAATATTTGTCCCTAATATACCGATTTAAACAAAGGAATCAGAAATGACATCGAATTAATATAATTATTCATGTTCTGTTGTTACAATTACATCTTCGTGTGATATTTGGTAAGCGGAAAACGTACAATTACAAAGAAAATTGGAATTTATAATAGTCGCAGTCCATCCATCTGCCCAACGCAGTCTGCGACTCAGTGTTGCTTTATATCTGAAGCTGAACGCAATTACAGCCAAAGGTAGATAGCACAATGTGTGTACAGGTGTGGCCGAAATGGAGCAACTTTGGACAAAATTGAATATAAAGGGCTATTTAAATAGACCTACATCGTGTCTCAATCCATTCTGCAAATATATACAAGCTGTCAAATACAGCTGAAATCATGAATTTATGGTAGCTAGCAATATTGATGGACTGTTGGAAAGATCATCCAAAATTACATTAACTCATCAACTCTCCAATTATTTGATATTTTCCTGATATCTTAAATACTAGTTAATGTACCCTTCCCCAACAGCTTTTATTGCATCATCAAAAAGTTTATTGTGTGATTTCCTTCTCTTTGATACGTATAGTGATAATCTGGATGCTGACTTTCTTTTCCTGAAACAATAATAGCGTAGGAATATAGTTTACACTATCTTATTTATTTCGTGTTCGCGGCTGGACTGCGTTGCTTAGAATATCAATGGAGGCTGTGTTGCGTTGTTGAAATAGCTTTGTTTACTGGACTGCGTCCACTATGAATGCGCAGTTTGAATCTAATTTTCTCCTCATGAACACATTCTATTATCAAATCATTTTCACGAATTATACTCGGAGCCTCAACTAACCTTTAGATATCAGAAACGTGTTAAAACTCCTTTCAAATGTATAGTAAATTAAATAATATGCACATATTTTACAGGTAAAATCAGAACTTTGCTACTGTTTTAGCTTGATCTGGACAACTGCTTATTTTCTTATCTACAGACCAACAGTAGATACAGAGTAATATTTTGGTCACCGATTAGACACTACGATAGCATTTAAAATACCTGGATTTCTCTATTTTGTCGGAAGAAGCAGAAGGCACTGCCGGATGGCCCCATCATTTTGGCGCTGGGCTGCGGTGTAAAGTTACGCGAGTCGCAGTCCGTGGCTTCGCCCTCGTTTTGCTTATCCTCCGTGATATTTATATCAAAGAATAACCACCCGATTCTTTAACAGCATGATTTATAAATATGGTATTGGAGTGTTAGCTGCGGTCACGGATTGAAGATGTCAATGCGATAACCTGGCGTCGGTCAACTTAGGGAGTTTAGTTTCTGTTAATTGTTAGTAAATGTATATATATATATTATTTTTATCTTAGTTCATGCAATTTACAACGTATTCATCTAGTAAACTATACTCAATAACTCAATATATCATACATTTATATTATCACCAAGAGCCCCTTCATCTTACTCTTTTTCAATATACGAGAGTTCATACATTTATATTATCATCAGAAGCCCCCTTCATCTTACTCTTTTTCAATATACGAGATATCATACAACAAAAGGCTGCAAATCAAATTTGCTATAAAATACAAAATCGATGGGAATAATTAGACGTCCCCTTTGTTTTTGAACCCTAAATGTACTTTACAAGTATTCTCAGCTGCAAAAGAAGCGATTGTATTTAAACTGGAACAATAAACTTAACTCTAAAAACAAAGGACATCCCACGATGCCAAATAGGATCGAAACGATTAATTTCTTTATACTTTTTGTAGGATAAGTCAGACCTTTTCAAACTCCTGGAAATACTGAATATTGATGCACATTATCCCGTCTGTTACATCATGTTGCTTTTATAATGCACGGAAATATTATATTGATCGCCGGTTTGATTTTCAATAAATCAATATAGCCCAAATGATGCATCAAAGAGAATAATACAATTCTCACAATATTATTTAGGGAAATAAACAATAATGATAATAAGTATACTCCTTTGTTAAACATGTACATGGTGTTTTATATGTATGCACTGCCTCTATCTAAACTCATGCATGTAGCATTACCAGCCTATCATGTTATATATCATTCTGTTCCTCATAGAAAGTTACATACGATTGCAAAGTTAAAGAATCAAGGAGCGTCCCTGAAAAAAGATATGATGTATCAAAATATGCTGGAACGGGGTAATTTGTAATCAATTTTGGTCCCGGTCCGGTGACCTGTTCACTTTGTCCATGTAAATAATGGACTTGTAAGATTGAATAGAAAAAAACTTGGAAAGAATCAAGCAAGTAATATTGATGATCATTATAATACCCCATATGTATTCTAGATGCTCATTGGCTTATTCATGGTCACATGATATGTAATAGATGAACTAATTCCCTGGAAAGTTCTAAATCCCTGCTTTCAGGAAAGATGAAATATATATAAATATATAAATAAACTAATTACCAGTTAGGTCATGTGACTATTTTTTAGTATATTTTATCTTCCCTGATAGCTAAGATTATAGGAGTTGAAAGGCAAAAAAAATTAAATGCCAATAAGAACCTGTCAACATTAAACGTTGAAATGAAAAGACTTCTCATTTTGTTTTTGTTTACAGGGTACATACGGGATATATCATAAAACAAATAGTGACTGCCACATTTTCTGGAAAGGGTATTCACTATTTGTATACTAATAAGTAAATAAATCTAATTTAATAATGTATTACCGAAACCCATTCTCTAGTTCCACATTACCCCTCTGGTAGTAGAAACGTAATAATGGATCGATATAATTAATTAAAAGTACATAAATCTATACTGTTTCGTAATCCCGGTGACAACTTATCGGTTATTCCATATCGAAAAGTAATACTCATTGTAGTTATTCAATTATTACTTGAATGCATTTATATAATACAATTTTTCATTTATATAAGATATTATATAGATTTTTGATAAATAGGCACATAGGCATAGAAACACATCAACACGCGGCATATCCCGCTGGGGTGATTTCAGTTATGTCTTCAACTGCAGTCGATGCCTAAAGTACATTTAATAAATACATAAAAAGATTTTGGGATGACAGATATTTTTGAAAATCTAGCACAATGTCAGTATCCGTAGCAGTTTTGATATCAACGATATTCATTCTTTACATTACCTTTGATCTAGCAGAGTCCGAAACTACATATATTGGAATATCACTTTCTAAACATCAATGTGAAGATAAGGTTTATATAAAATATCCAAACGCCGAGAGACTGGGAACTCCTCTGAGGGCATTTAAAGTAATGACTAAAACCAGATGCGAAACTAGCTGTTCAGTTATACGAGAAACGTGCAAATCATACAATCTACGGAACATCGAAGGGGAAAAACACATGAAAATGTGTGAGTTACTTGGGCCCCATTTGACGAGCGAATCGCCTACTGCAACAACTGAAAATGTTGATCACTACTGGAGAAAAGGTAACTTTTTAAACACACTTCATACTAACATACAAGTTACACATTTATGTTATTCATTTATAGATGTTACGGCAAAAGCGCCTCAATTTGCTCGCTTCGCTTCGCATCAACCTTGTCATTTGAGACGCATCTGCGTTGAAAGATTCTTAATATCAAATACTGTTAATGAGAACAGTTCAAAACTTGACTTGAAATCAATATATTCAAAGAATTCTTGACCAATGGAGATTGATCTGTTAACTTTTGGATGCATCAACAGTTTATTAAGTAAATTACATCAGTGGTTTTTCAAGTATAACAAAAAGTTATAAGAAGTTTTAAACAAGTATAGATCCTTACTCAGGATATATTTTTAGAAATTCAGATTAGCCTTAGACTTTTAATACATGCTTAAATTTCATATTGTTTAAATTCCAGCTTTCTGTAATACGAACGAAGACGAACAGTTAATATCGGGAGATGTTTACTATGTTAATGATGCAGAAATAACTGCATCGACAACTCATGGTTCATACCTCGACAGAACTAAAATTAGATTGGACACCCCGACTGGGTATGTATTATACGACGTAATTACTTTTATGCTGTTAAGGGGATTCATCATCATGATCAGTTACTAAACCGATTTTGGGGTAACGTTAATAGGCCCGTAGCCAGGATTTGCCAAGGGGGGGGGCACTTTTTGAAAAATTCCAGGGGGGATCACCTTTGACAATTTTGGTCCAAATGTGGCCAATATCACTTAAAATGTGCTCAGAATGATGAAAAACTGCATGATTTTGAAATAATTTTTGGCCAGGGGGGGGGGGTTAATGTATGTACGGGCCTGGTTAATGTATTGTTTCTTTTTGTGTTCGAAGGGTTTTATGCACACTTTTATTGAATGTAATTGAATTTAATGCCCCGTGGAAATATTTCACTACATTGTCTAAAAGATGGATGTGACATTACGGCCTCAATTTGCTCGCTTCGCTAGGACAGGCGCCCGGGGACAGGCGTATCACTCTAAAAGGGTTTTGATGTCATTTTATCATGAGTTCTAATAAAGCATGGTAAGAATAGCATATGTATAAGGTTGTGACCCCCTACCCAAGTTCTGCAGTACAATTGACGCCATATCGAGTTTTAAATTATCTTCTATTTTCATAGATTTTGACATTTTTTGTGGAAAAAGAAGAAGAAGCGGGCAAATTGAGGAGTTTTTGCTGAAACGTCATACCAATTTTTAAGACGGTGTTGTGAAATATTTTCACGGTAACATTTGATTAATTCAACATTAATAGATATACAGAACATTCAAGAACTCCAAAATCGGCTACGTTAGAGATGAATCCCCTTTAAATAATAATTATTCTGCGACACTACTGTTCCGCTGAAATATGAATTGTTCTGCTATTGAAAATCGATATTATACAAATATTTTAATATTTTTGAGGTGAATACCTGTGCATTTTTCACAATTAATACTCCACTAAGCCGCAAGGGCAAGTGGAATATAATTTTGTGAAAGTGTCACAGGTATTCACCGAAAATATTACTCACTGTAATATGCCTCACTCAAATCGATGGAATAACAAACTATAGATGTTTAATTAATCATAACAATGTACTCCCGGGTATATGTAAAATTAAAATTACACTTTACTAAGTCGAACTTCAATTGCATATCGCTTGTTATTTCTTAGTCACGTGGACCAATCAGAGAGTGAGGAATATGAAAGTGATAATAATCTCTAATATTCTATTTTATTATATACCCCATATGTATTCTAGATGCTATTTGGCTTATTCATGGTCACATGATATGAAATAGATGAACTCAATCCCTGGAAAGTCCTAAATCCCTGCTAACAGGGAAGATGAAATATACTAATCACCAGTTAGGTCATGTGACAAGTCATTAGTACATTTTATCTTCCCTGCTAGCTGTGATTTATAGGAGTTAAATGGCAAAATGCATTTGGATCCTTACAAGAACCTGTAAGCATTAAATGTTTAATGAAATTAAAATACTACTTGATTTTTTTGTTTACAGATTACATAAGGGGTATATAATAAAACAAATAGTGACTGCGACATTTTTGGGAAATAGGTGTAAAAATTTCCCCTCGGGAATATCCTGTCAACTGGCATGTTCCCCCGGCCTGCAGCCTCGGGAAGATGTCAGTGGATAGGATTGTCCCTTGGGAAAAATATTTTGCACTATGGCAGTCAATATATATTTGTATTATAATGTTAAAGTTGCTTGTCATTTTTCTGATGAAAACAGACCAGGGTCGTGGTGTGTTGGTACTAATGACGTGAATCAGTGGGTACAAGCAGATCTTGGCGAAGTTATGGTCGTGACAAAGGTGGTCACCCAAGGAAGATCAGACTACCCCCAATGGGTTAAATCATACAAATTCATCTACGGTGAAACTGAGAACTATCTTGAAGAGTATGGAATGGTAATATAAAACATTTTATAAATCCAGAATTGGTCTTAGGTCCAAAATATATCGTTCTTTAATATATTTTGTAATCACCCTTTAAATAAAGAGTTTCTATATTCTAATAATTTGGAAAACTTCCGAGTCAGTGTATCTTCGATTTTTCACAAGGAACATTAGTTATGTCCAATTATAATAACTTACATGATAGATTCCACGCCTTAGATATATGTTGGAACAAATATATTGGCATAGTTGCCTATATAGAGAGAAATTCAACAGAAAAAAACAACTGACAGAAGTTTTTAAATTCATTTTTGAATTTCCGACCGTGTATATATTTTTTTTAAATGATAAGAATCCGGCTCAGCATATATGCTGAGTACAGCTGCAACTGCAATACAGGTGTACATTTTTGAATTTTCATTTTCTGATTTTTGGTCACTCATGACACCCCCAGTGTCAATTTAAGCCTCTAACTTCACAAGAAAACTAACGTTCCGGATGGTGTCATATTGTTAGGAAATGATTTATCTTTAAAATGATATATAAAACATAGCATGGTTTGAGATATACCATATGAATCATTCATCTTTAAATTTGGGTATTGTTTTTTGGCCCACCCTGTAGATTCTCTAATTAACTAGGGGAGAGCGGGGTAAGACGGAACGAGGGGTAAGACTGAACGATGGCTTTTTAAGGAAAACTATTTAGAAAATGGTCGCTGAAGTTTTTTGAAAACATATCACGTTATCTTTCTATTCTACTGCCAATTCCTCGTCGGCTGCAACTAATATCTTTAATAAGGGTAGATATATCATTTTTTATCCATTCTTATAGCATTTCATAAGGTTTTGATCGCCTGTAGAACCAAAAACATACGTGTAATACATAGAAAATTATATATTTCTGAAAAGAAATTTTAAAAACCTGTAATTTAAGAAAAAATTATAGCTTTTAGCTGTCTCATTTTGAAAGCAGACGACATTTTGTAGATTCCGTCTTACCCCACTTTCACTTTTAAGTGATTAAGTGAACTGATGTCAATGTCATTTCAAGTTCAAAGGTCAGTATCTAGGTTTTTACTTTTTAATACCTAGGGGGCTGATGTGACGTGACCAGAAGTCAAGGTCAAGGTTTATGAGTCAAGGTCATCTCAGGGTCATCTCAAGGTCAAAGGTCAATATTTAGGTTTTAGCGTTTCAAGGACCTTGGAGGCTGCTGTGACCCTTGGCGACACATGATTAGGTGACCTGAGGTCAATTTCATTCCACTTTTGGTAACTTTTCATGTGTTAATGCAAAGAGAAGACGTTTCCCACTTAGTGTTGACCTGTGTATGCGCATAGTCGACAGGTAAATCAGGTAAAGCATTTTATTTAGATATCCTTCAGATAAAATCAACCGTTCCGTCTTACCCCACCTGTTCTGTCTTACCCCACGCCTGGTAAAGTTGCCCTTGTTGACACCGTAGACGGTTTTGATGATGTGACTATGGCAGTTTTGACCTACCATGATGCGAAGTCTAAAAGATGTTGTCGCAAAATAAATTTCATAAAAGCATTCCATTTTATTTGTACATTATTTATCTTAGGTTCTCCAAGGAAATGTGGACAGTAACACAAAAGTTACAAACACGATCGAGCCCGCTGTCTTTGCCAGATTCGTACGCATCAATCCTCTAAATTGGCAAAACCATATGTGCATGCGGTTTGATGTAATTGGATGTCCCTCCTAATAAGGTAAGACTACCGTGGATTCTTTAAAATACGAGGAAGTTCAAAATTGCTCCGTATACCGCTTAACACTATCGCTAGCCAAACATTATTAGAACATCTTCCTTTCATTGAGAAGAAGGAGGTGCAGATTTTGAACACCTGCTGATGAGAATGTGTATGGAGAGTATAAAATCACCCAACTAGATTGTTTTGGTTATCTTTCTCCAACTGTTTTGGTATTCATATTCACATGTATGTTTTTGAATTCTGCAGAATGAACGCTCGATTTCTTTCTGAACGAAACGATATCAGAAGGACGAATGCCATACACGGATACACAAACAGGGACTATTACAACTCCATTACAAGCTATTGAGGCCATATACTTACAGAATAAACGCTCAACTTCCTTCTGAACTTAACGATAACTATCAGAAGGACGAATGTCATACAGGAATACACAAACAGGGGCTATCACAGCTCCATTTCAAGCTATTGAGACCATACTTCTAAACAAAACCCTTATCTCCGATCTTCATATACATTGCATCGACCTCAATTGTGAAATATATTTTTTCGCGGCCATTTTAATTTGGTGTTTGTGAAGCTATGTAAAATGTTATTAAAAATTAGTACTTTCTAATCTATTTCTGACTGTATTCACAAATAATGGACACTCATGGACATACAAACATGAAATAATATAATGTAATATAATATAATATAATATAATATGATATAATATGATGTGATATGATGATATAACATCATCCCGTTAGGGATTTGAAATGGGTTGTATCAAATATATATAAAAGGATGATATCAATATTTTCCGAGGGAACGCAATATGATATAATATAATATAATATGATATGATATGATATGATATAATATGATGTGATATGATGGTATTATATCATCCCACTAGGGATTTGATATGGGGTATATCACAATATATATCAATATTTTCCGAGGGAACGCAGTGACCGAGTGACTATGATTTAACATGTAAGCCTTTTGAATGTCAACACAAATTAGCCTCTTATGATTTAACATGTAAGGCTTTTGAATGTCAGCACAAATTAGCCTCTTATGATTTAACATGTAAGCCCTTTGAATGTCAGCACAAATTAGACTCTTATGATTTAACATATAAGCCTTTTGAATGTCAGCACAAATTAGCCTCTTATGATTTAAGATGTAAGCCTCTTGAATGTCAGCACAAAATAGCCTCTTATGATTTAACATTTCAGCCTTTTGAATGTCAGCACAAAATAGCCTCTAATAATCTAACATGTAAGCCTTTTGAATGTCAGCACAAAATAGCCTTTTATAATTTAACATGTAAGCCTTTTGAATGTCAGCACAAAATAGCCTTTTACAATTTAACATGTAAGCCTTTTGAATGTCAGCACAAATAGCCTTTTATGTAAGCCATGTGAATGTCAGATGAAATACTCTCCTTCAAACACCTTGACTGCTGGTCCTTTTAAATATATTTCCGAGTACAATTGTTCATGCGAAATCTTATTCCAGGTGACTGTCAATGTGCCTCCTTTAGTATGAACAACCCACGTTGTCGTTTTGATGATATCGGAGTTGGTTGCAAGCTTTCTTGTACCATTTGCTGTTTTTACAACACTGTCAACGTACGGGGATTGGTGGTTTAAACATTCAGAGCTACATAAATCAGCATCCATTTTATCAATGCAACCTTCTGGCGATCTTTCAATGTTGTCCACGTCTTCCAACTCAGGAGGCGAAATCCCCGAATTAGGTGCCAAGCCCACGTATGCAGCTACAATTGCTGACGCGACGGATCCTGTACCACAGGAGAACGTTTCATGTTCAACACCACATTCAAATGTTCTCACACAAAGCTCGTTGGGAAAATCACAACGATCTGAGACAAAGTTAACGTTGCTTCCATTGATATCTTTGTAATATGGGTGATTTCTAATTAGCGAGCCATACTTCTCAACATCAAATGTATCAAGGTCTCTGACAAAGCATACGTGGTGTGGCGATCCTGTGTCAAGGAAATAATGTTCGATTTTATTTCCTGACCTTGTGCGTTGTGTTTGTTGTTGGATTCCATAAGCTCCTAGTGGTATGCATTCTTTGAAAATCTCCGCATGTGTAACAATACGTTCAACATTTTTCATTTTCAGTGTCACTTCGTTTGTGGTATCAATAGTGGCAAAGTGAGGGCCATCACACGCCATAAAATTACAATCATCATTTTGTAATACACCCAAGTGTTTTGCATACGCAACTGCACATCGTCCACCATTTCCACACATGGTACCTTCGCCACCATCTGCATCATAGTACACCATCTCAAAGTCACATGTTAAATATGGCCTATTAGACCATCTGCCCCCACTCCCTTACGCCTGTCACATATAGCTGCTATTGTTCTCTTAGATAAATCGGGAGTGCTCTCAGCTAAGGCAACAGCTGATATTCTGTCCACCATTATGAAATCATTTCCAACTCCTTGGTATTTCACGAAGCGCATTTTTAACTAAACCTTGTGAACTGGGCAGGGCTTCAAACATCAAGTGCAATTTACATTTAATTTAAATAGAAACATGAAAAACATGTTTTATGTCTCTTTTTTATGTTATCTTTGTCCGTTTTGAAATGACCTTACATTACTTTGAATGCAGCTTTAAAATCAAAGTGTTGAATCCGAAGATAGCACAAAACAATCGGTAGAAACCACACAAACTTGCCATCGTCACACTAATCTAAGGACAAGATTTAGTATGGCAAGTGTTTTTAGACGGTCACATCTTTCACCATGACCACTTTCTCAATTTAAATACGACGTTTCTTAACACAATATGTTATCACAGTAAATTCTCAAGGATAATAAAAAACATCTATCAAACAATTCAAAAAATGATGAATAGGGGCGTTTTGAAAAAATGTTGAACCTATTCACTCAAAAGAGGATCTTATTTTCTGATTTTTAATTCATGAAAATATTATTGTACAGGGGGATTTGTGTTTTTTATGTTACTACCAAGAAACGGTGACAATCGGGGTTCCACAATTGAGAATTTTCAGTTTATTTCTAGTAAGGTTATTGCTAGTTCAAGAACGAATGTGATGAGCTAGAATAGGTTAATCCTATTATCATGTAAACAGCAGGATATTATCGTGTAAACAGTAGGACACGACCAGAATGCAATTAACTACAAATCATCATGATAACACTGTTGCTCATATTTATGGAATACCTTTCATACATTGTCCAATAGTTTGATTTCGCTTCTTCTTTCATTGCTCCTTATCTAGTTACTCTAAAGTAGTCCTTCGAAGAAGAATGCATACCAACGTGCAAATGTCAATGTTTTTGCTATAAATCAAGCAACAAGTCTACAGTTTACATGACCTGTAAAAGATATAATACGTAATGAATGAGTGATGTTATTGTCACAAAATTAATATCATTTTTTGGTTTCAGAATGGCTTATCTTATTATCACGTAAACCATATCTCCCAACCTAAGACCAATAATTTGAGTTGTTTTTGCGGTATTTTTCGACAAAAATGCGGTAATTTTACAGTAGATTTTGAAGAAATTCAAGATCGGTAGTTTTTGCGGTAGATTTTCGAGAAAGGAAGTTTTTGAAAAATGCGGTGGTATTACAGTAGATTTTGAAAAAATGTGGTAGTTTTGTGGTAGATTTTTAAAAACACTGTAGTTTTGCAGATGGTTTTGACAAATGCGGTAGTTGTTGCAGTATATTTTTAAAAATGCGGTAGTTTTTGCTGGTGTCTAAAAAATGCGAAAGTTTTTGCGGTCGATTAAAGAAACTGATTTTTCTAATACAGCATTCATGGAACTCTTTCATAAACAGACTAACAATTTGAACACTTCAGTGTTTTTATAACTAAAGTAGAACATGTGGTAGTTGAACACTGTGCTTTTGCATCACGATACTCCCCAGTGTGTTGACTGATTACACGCCAGCTTACTTAGTTACTTACTAAGTACACAATAACCACTGTCACAGACCTGCCGACACCTATTAATTTTCGAGTTGGTAATGGGATATTACAAGGGCAATACGGGAAGACTTCACTCTTTCAGAATTTCTAAATAATAACGGTAGATTTTACGGTATTTTGAACAAGAATACTGTTAATTTCAGCAGAAATACTGGAGAATTCCAAATATTTGCGGTATATTTTACGGCCGTTCTTATAGAAAAAAATCGAATCAAAATAAAATATTTTACGGTAGATTTGGATAGAATTACGGAAGATTTTTCTACGGTCGTTTTCACGGGGAAAAAATAGAAAATAACTACGATAGTTTGTCATTTTTACGGTAGAATCCCGTAAAATACGACCTAGGTTGACAAGTATGCGTAAACAGTATAACACTACCAACTTACGAAAGAATGTAATCATTAAGAATAAGAATTTTCGTTAATGAGACTTCTCGAGTATATAGCTTTATTATACTCGAATGAAAGGCAATTTAGACTAGATTGCAAATATTCATTATTTTCTGATTCGGGCCTTGGATAATTATATAATAGAGGATATATCTCAATTTCCATATGTCTCCATTTTATTATCTACAAATCGAGGGTGTCGAGATAGTGTTTCCTACATTTTGATTTAAACACTGATTCATGAATATCATCGGAGTTTCCAATTCCTAGTTTAGCTCAAAGTTGCAGAAAAATCCTATTTAAGAATATATATTTGTGGCTAGATCACATCTAACCTTCGACAACGTACAGTGACTTCGGCGCCCGGGCGATTGAGTATTTTGTTCAAAATTGAATACAAGATTGAGCAAAACACTCAATCGGCCGGGCGCCGGCCGATGGATTGGAGCAAATGTGACCCGGGCATTAGTAGCATTTCCATTTTATCTATTATTGAGTGTGGCTTGTTTTATATTACCGTATGTATGTATTGTTTTATGTTGTAAATAAATATTTGATGTTGTAAACCATGTTGATTTAACCGATTGTTATCCTTGTAAATACCCTCTTTGCATTTGTTTTTTTGCTCAGCTATATTCTCAGTACCATCAATACTCCATATAAAGGTCTCATTACATATTGTTTTAAACAACTGTTAAACATTCCATTTTACTAGTAATTAATTATCAAAGAACTGTATATATCTACGTAGGTAATCTAAAATGATCTATATTATATGCATCACAAGCGGCTTAACTCCACATGTTGTTATTGACAATATTGTATATTATTTTGATGAGTAGCCAGATTTAATCAATATCTCAAAGTATCCCGAAGTTAGCGCTTGCGACATGAGAAACAAAAGAAAAAAGCAAAGTATTCTACCATTGACTGTGTTGGTTGTAATTCTGTTCTATTTAACACATTATGCGCATGTGAAGCATGCCCAAAGATCAGCGGTGAAAAGCAGTAGATACAGGAGATCAACCGACCAGGTCCATGATCACATCGATATAGATGATGCTGAACACGACGAAAAAATTGATGATCTTGAACGTGACACACCAGCTGATTCAGTGGATATTGAGCGTGACACATCAACTGACCCAGTGGATATTGAGCGTGACACATCAACTGACCAAGTGGATATTGAGAGTGACACATCAACTGACCAAGTTGATAGCGAGCGTGACACATCAACTGACCCAGCGGATATTGAGCATGACACATCAACTGACCCAGTGGATATTGAGCGTGACACATCAACTGACCAAGTGGATATTGAGAGTGACACATCAACTGACCAAGTTGATAGCGAGCGTGACACATCAGCTGACCCAGCGGATATTGAGCGTGACACATCAACTGACCCAGTGGAGATTGAGCGTGACACATCAACTGATCGAGCAGATGATCCTGAACACATCGGGAAGAATCAACAACTCGAACCTAAATGCGAAGCGACAATTGTTCTACCTGATCCTGGAAATGACACAATAATTGATGCAGGCGAATCTGAACGTGACGAAATAATTGATCATCTTGTCCCCGGACGTGACACGGCAATTGATCAAGTCGCTCCTGAAAGTAAAAAAACAATTCGCTCTGTCAATGCTGAACGTAACGTTACAATTGATCAAGTCGAGTCTGAATATAAGACGACTATCAAGCCAGTTGACCCTGAACATGAGACAACAATTGATTCTGTTTATCCTGAAGGTGAGACAATAGTTGATTCTGTTTATCCTGAACGTGTCATTACAATCAATCCAGCCGATCGCGAACATGAAACAACAATTTATTCTGTTGATGCAGAATTTGCTGAAGTAATTGATCAAGACGATTCTGAACAAGAGAGGACAATCAATCCAGTCGATACTGAACGTGAGACAACTATTGATTCTGTTGATGCTAAACGGAGAATAACTATCGATTCTGTTGATGCTAAACGGAGAATAACTATCGATTCTGTTGATGCTGAACGTGACGTAGCAATCGATCAGTTTGATCCTGAACATGAGACGACAATCAATCCAGTTCATCCTGAACGTGAGACAACAATTGATAATGTGTATGCTCAACATGACCTAACATTTGATCTTGTTGATCCTGAACAAGAGAGGACAATCAATCCAAACGATCCTGACCGTGAGACAACTATTGATTCTGTTGATCATGAACGTTACATAGCAACTGATCAATTCGATCCTGATCATAAGACGACAATTAATCGAATCGAGCCAGGACATGAAACAACTGATTCTGTTGATGCTGAGTACGACGTATTGATCGATCAAGTTGATCCAGAACATGAGACGACAAGCAATCCTATTGATCCTGAAAGTGAGACAACTATTGATTCTGTTGATCCTGCAGGAAACGTATCAGACGATGAAGTTACTGTTAGTCTACTTGATAATGAAACTGTTACTGGTACTATCAATACACCGGATAACCTTACAATTAGTACTGCATCTCTAGATGACCTAAACAGCTGCGGCTATGATATTTCTACTTACACGTGTATGGAGAATACTTGCAGAGGAAGATGTGGGCAGATTAACAATTATACGAATGCCTTGTGGCTCTGTTCTTGTGATGCGGCGTGCCACGTCTATGGAGATTGTTGCAAGGACTTTAACGATGTTTGCGGCAACCGTACATATAGCATCGAGATGGAGGAATCTTTCGTTTGCAAAAATATAGGAGATGGTCAATACGTATATATGAAGCAATCCTGCCGACCCGACTACAATAATGTAGATATCATTCAGAAATGTTACGGGGAGGATGGTGTCGAGGGAATCATACCAGTCACTGACGAACTGACAAACGTTGTCTATGTCAATTATTTTTGCGCTATGTGTAATCGTGTCAATGAAAACGTTGTTCCTTGGAAAATATTAGTCCAATGTAAAATGAATACCCCACAATTCCCCATATCAGGCAATGATTATTTCATCCGGTTGGTAATTATGGCGCAGAGATCGGGAAGAACGTGTTTGATTTCCAAAGCTCCAAAGGATGAAGGTTTATATATGCGACGACCCTGTATTTCTATTTCACCGACTCAATGCAGAAATGGATGCAAAGATGAGGGTATTTTAGAAGCCTGTAAAACTGGAGTTCGAGACCCACAAACTTTCAAAACTGGAGGTATGATTCTAAGAAATGCGCATTGTCTACAATGTCTCAATTTGGCGGAGAGTCGAGACTGTGACAGTTATAGAATGCCGAATGAAGGCAATAAGATATCCAACTTCTTTGCTTACTCCGTATTGGTTGATGTAATCAGTGATTCTGGTTCCGTATTGCAGATCAAGGCAGATTCGGCTATCGCGGGCGTTGATTCTGCTGTAAAGGTGAAAGGCGCGGAAATAAGTATAACGAAATGTCCAAGTCGGTTTAAACTTATCAAAAATGAATGCGTGTTACATGAGACCCAATTAAAGGTATTCTGTAGAATCCCAAAAGGAAACAACAATGCAGAAAATATCAAAGCACGCGTGACCAAGGCGATTACAGAAATGTTCGATATCATTGGTATTCTTTTTGTAAAGGCTCTGCCTGATGGTTTCGTCCATTGCCATTTCTTTGCCGCGTTCCATAATGAAACACTTGATTGGAAGACTAAGTTTAATCTAAATGAGAAAACCCTTCAGCAATCGCTTCCTCCTGTCGGTTCAACTTCAGATGAACGCTATTGTACATATGAGAAAGATGGGACCGAATTGACCCTCGCGAATCTGGTTTTGGGTCAGCCTCCAACGGAAGGCCAATTGTCGACATTAGAGATATCGCACTCGCCTAGTGGCAACGGTCGTATTACGAGTACTGGAATCAGGCTCTGTTCAGGCATGCTTGGACTTGTTTCTGTCTGGCTCGTTTTTGCTTTCACCAGTTCAACGATAAATTAATCTTCGAGAATAGGATAAGTCCTTTGTTCAGGCATGAATCATGTCTTAAAAAGCTAAGAATTGTCTGTCGGGAATCTGGTTGTGGGTCAGCCTACAACGGAAGGCCAATTGTCGACATTAGAGAAATCGCACTCGTCTAGTGACAACGGTCGTACTACGAGTGATGGGACAAGGCTCTGGTCAGGTTTGTATGGTTTCGTTCTGCATCGCTCGTTTTTGCTACTTGTTCAACGATGAGAACTTGATTGAGAAGCCCTTTGTCCAGGCATGAATCGTGTCTTAAGAAAGCTAAGAATGAGAATGGTTCTATGATGCGATTTATTTTTGCTCTGCATTGGTGGGAGAGATTGAAAATATGAGAATGTACGAAGGCTTTAAGAATCTGATCTGCCTACAAAGATTGACTTGTTCCAAATTGCCTGATGAATCGTTTCCTCATTGTAAATGTCGTTTGCACTTTAAGTTATAATGAAAATTATTTTGAGGTATTCCTAAGCTATTCGCAATCGCTCATTTAACTATCTACAAAAATACTTATAAAAATTCTAATTTTGCCATATATTTCTATGTTCATTATTTTATTTTCGATAAAAAAATAGAAAAAATCATGAAATATATTATTGAAATATGGAAAGACATTGTTCTTGTTTATGAAATAAATGTATATAAATTATCTAACACAGATGCATGATAAAAATGATAGAAACCAATGAGGAGGATAAACATCATATCCGATTATTTTCTTAATAATTAATTAATTAATTATTTTCTTAGGGTATCATTAGTAACCGAGACAACACAAGTCCCAAGTCTGTATATCTACTCTCATTTCTTCACATAGTTAGTCACCACATTTTGCACATATATTCCTTGGAGAAATCCTAACATAGAATTTTATTGGTTTTGATATACTAAAACCAATTTTATTATATGGATGTGAAACGGATGCCCAAATCCTCCAGGATGTACCTTTAAATACAGCTATTTTGGAATACTTTGATGTAAACAGAGTTAATATAAGAAGTTACAAAAAACATTGAGCTAATAAACAAGTAAGTATAAAATAGTAAGATTAATTAGGAGAGTAAAGTTACAGGCAGTTAGTAGAAGTCAGTTGACCTCAGAGATTAGACTAGATAGAGTTTAGAGAGAGTGTATATTGAGAACCTGACCTGAGATGAGATATGAAATAATTGATAATCACAATTAGAAACCTAGAATAAGAAGCTATATTGAAGAACAATACACAAGAAACAAGCTGTAGAAAAATATTAGATCAGCATCAACAGATCGTAGATTCGTTACGGGGCGCTCCCTACACAGGGAGATATGCCGATCACTCAATTAGTACAAAATTAGTACTAAATTAGCACTCGTGGCATGAGTGCTCATGAGCGCGCTTTTGGCAGAGTGCTAATTTATTACTAATTGAGTGCTATTTTAGTACTAATTTTGTGAAAAATAAGGGTTTAATTTAGTATTCATTTAGCACCAAAATATTTTTCATTAACTAAATAATAAGCACTCAGTAGGTATCATTCTAGCTGGGATACAATTCGCATGCTACTTTCAATTTCGTTATTTAGACTTACTCCCCAGGCCCGTAGCCGGGGGGGGGGGGCTTGGGGGCCCGTGGGATATCTCCTAAAAAATAGATAAATACATTAATCATTTATTTTGATCCTCGAATTGCCCAGAACGCACTAAATCAGCCCAAAAATCCTAACTTTTTCAGGGCAGCATGCCCCTGATTTTTTTTAAATAAATCATATATTGTGATCCTAGTATCGCTCAGAACGTGTCAAATAAGCCTAAAAATTCGATTTTTTAAAATACGTAAATCATATATTTTGATCCCTAGAACGATCAGAATCGCCCAGAATGCGCTAAAAAAGCCTAAAAATCAGTTTTTTAAATACGCGAATCATATATTTTGATCCTCTAGAATCGCTCAGAATGCACCAGAATTGCCCAGAATCCGCCAAATAAGCCTAAAGATTAATTTTTTTGAAATACGTATACCATATGTTTTGATCCTAGAATCGCTCAGAACGCACTAAATCAGCCCAAAACTCCTAAATTTTCCGGGGGAGCATGCTCTCTGGCTACATCACTCACAAGCTATTATTTTACAGGCCATGATAATTTGGCTGGAATTTTGTTCTGTCTAAATCAACTAACTAGTCATTTTAACACCATGAGGGAATTTCTGGGCCATTTTCAAAATTTGGGCCCTTATTTTCTTCTGTGCAAGCGCGGAAATTTTCGGGTCCCCTCCCTTGTTTTCGTGGCCACCCCTGGTGTCTTGTTAATAACACCCTTGTGGTCACAATGCGAAGTTGATTAAGTATGAAAACATTTTTGTGTGTGGATGAGGGGGGGGGGGGATTCGAGAACGCCCCTTACCCTACTATCACACCAAACTAGTTTTCACTACGTTCTCGAAAACGGGCTTCAACTGTGTACGAACGGACTGGACGTACCTAGAACCGTTTGGGGTCTATTTACAAACTTCATCGAACGTACTCGAACGGGTAGGTCCCCTAGAACTTAGAACATACTCAAAATGTTCTCGTGGTCGATACGTTCTACAATTAGAACGAGTGACAACGTACTAACGACGAGCTGGACGTACTACGAACGGAACCGTCGTACTTCAATCCTACTAGGGACGTTTTAACAACGAGTTGAACTGTCTGAGGACGTATTGAGAACGAGGTAGAACTAATTGCAAACGGGTTTAAACTGATTAAGAACGTATTTAAGACTGCTTATGAACGAGTTAGCAAAAATATAGCTTTCACACCAAACAAGTTGCCACTGCGTTCTTCAAAACTGGTTTTAAACTGTGTGCGAACGGAATGAACGTAGCTGCAGCTTTCTAAGGTCTATCTACGAACTTCATGAACGTTCTCAGACGGGAAGGTGATTGTAGAATTTTGAATCGATTCAAAATTCGATGGCGACCATACCGTTCTGAAATCAGGTCATGATGACCTTCTAGACTAAGGGACGCGTTATACGACGTTGCACACCGACCTGGTGCGACCTGAACGAACTGCAAATGAGATGGACGTATTGAAGACTGTTTATGAACGATGTAGCTAATCATTTTAGACATATTTCCCGACCACAGCCAGATAGAGCCCGTTTTACGACTTTTTCGTAGGACTGGCAAGAACGGGTAAGAACTAGTTTGGTGTGATAGGGGGGGTAACCAAATCCTGGCTACGGGCATGCTCCCATATCAGCTTACAGCTGTCCCACATATAGAACTGACTTACCATGACATTTCTCGTATTATACAACTTACCTCATCTTTCACTTATTCAATGTAACAAAGCTGTGTATATATATATATATATGCACTTTTCTCAAAAATGTTCATTTGAAATAGAATACTGTACTGCAGTATAGGGTAAGAGCAGGCCTTAGCAAGGGGGGTTCGCAGGGTTCGTGCGAACCCCACACCTGACCAAAAATTCTTTCAAAATCATGCAGTTTTTCACCATTTTGAGCACTTTTCAAGTGATTTTAGCCATATTTTGGCCAAAATTGGCAAATGTGAACCCCCTCAAAATTTTTGAAAACTGACCCCCCCTGGCAAATCCCGGCTACGAGCCCATAAGAGTAATGTGAACATAGGACAATTAAACTTTTGAACTTATGAAATAATTATAATCAATAACAATGCTGACCACTAGTTTACAAAGTACACAAAACTACAACTATTAATGCTTTATAGTTTATTTAATTTTATTCTCATAACCATTGTATAAAATAAAATATAAATAATTTCTAGATACATTAAAGCATGTATGCATGTGGACGGATATATTTGACAAATATAGTATGGACTCCTAGAGGTTTCACTTTGGACGGATTTCTTGAATACTTTGACAATAAAGGATAGAATACATAGAGATTATCCTATATGAGGTTCAGGATATTGGGATTATCCCGAGGCCAATATAATATATTTGCCCGAGGGCCGCAGGTCCCGAGGGAAAATATATTATATTGGCCAAGGGATAATCCCAATATTCTGAACCGACTATAGGATAATATGTTTATCCCATACCAATCTTGGTCATCTGGTTCACATTTTTCAATCGTGGAAATATTTTAGAATATCCATGTCCAGTTTTGTTTTCTTGGCCGTGGGCGGATTTTTCTGTTCTCTCAAATATTCCAAAATTTATTTTCTCGAATTTTTGATTGATTAAGTGGATGCTCCTTCCCTTTTTTAAACCATAAAACAGATCCCGATTGTCTGTGTTTTCTCCATTGTCGTTTAAAATCATTACGCGAACGTTACAAATTATGAACAAATATGCGAGCGGCGATTATGACGTAGCGGGCAGATATACTATATCTGCCCGCTCGGAGCGGGACGTAAAGCTATATCTGCCCGCTGATGAAAATATAAGTTTTTACAAACCGGCTTTATGTACCTATAACACGTCCAAGTATGGGATAAAGAAAAATATTAGATATACTAGTAGTTAATATCACAATATTATTTCTTAAATCATTTCTGACAAAGAAAACACTTGAACACCATCAGCAGCAGCAGATATCTATAGTTTCATCGATGATAACATATTAGTTTATAGAAATAATGACATATGCATGACCCATGAGCACATTGCACACATAAAATATAACAATATTGTACAGGTCATATAATTGAACCAAACATGTATAAAAGGTGGAATGTTAATTATATTAAGGGATATTTTAGTAAAAATGTTTGACTTTCTCAACAGATGTTTGCCAATTATCCTTCCATCTGTCTTCTGCTACAATCAGTTTCTGTTTTATTATATGTTGAATGTTTGATTACATTAAGGGATATTTTAGTAAAGTTGTTTGACTTTCTCAACAGATGTTTGCCAGTTATCCTTCCATCTATCCTCTGCAACGATCAGTTTCTCTTGTTCAGTTGAAATGTCATTCAATGTTTGTTCAAAGTTTTCCTTGTATTCCTGAAAACAAATAAAGTCATGGATATACATATCTCAGTTGCATTAAGGGCTCAACCTTTAAATTATTAAAGATAGATACCATATATGTATACTATTTTTTGGTAATTTATTCTATTTATTTACATCAATATATTAATTACAAAGATGGCCCCTCAATCACTTTACAGCTTTGGAGAAAAGCTATAAAATGAAAATATAATAAATCAAGAAAACTTTACATAAAGAATGAAAACGCTTAAATAAACGTCATGAAAAATTCCCTTGACATTATCAAGCAGACCTTTGCTGCCTATTTGAACACAACTAGTCTAAGATAAAAGTTCGCAAACTTAGCAATTCAAAAACTTTTTCAAATAAAATAAGTTTTACCGTAGAACTGAGATTTATTGAATTCTCAAGCAGATGAACAAACTACCTGGTAGACGGCTATATGGTTCAATGCGTAGGAATAAGTCTCCAATGTTTTAGTCAAGTTTCAGTTAAGAGTAATAGTAATAGGTTTGCTGTTTTGCACTGATTTACATTTAATTCAGAAGTATATTAACTAATTACCTGGTAGGCTTGGTCTCTTGCTTCTATGACAGCTATATGGCCCAATGTGCGGGAATTAGTCTCCAAAGTTTCAGTTAATTTTTCTTGTCCTTTCAACCCACCAGCTACCAACTCATTACAAACAAACCCTGAAATACAATGTGTAAACCCCATTTAATACTTATATATGCGCACCCTGCAGCACTTATGTATGCAATGCAAACCCTGTATTACAAAACATAAACCCCACCAGGCCCGTAGCCAGGATTTGCCAAGGGGGGGGGGGGTTCAGTTTTCAATTTCCATGGGGGTTCACATTTGAGAATTTTGGCCCAAATATGGCTAAAATCACTTGAGAAGTGCTCAAAATGGTGAAAAACTGCATGATTTTGAAAGAATTTTTGGCCTGGGGGTGGGGGGAACCCTGCGAACCCCCCCCCCCACTGGCTACGGGCCTGCCCACTTCAAAATCTATATATACACACTCTGAAATACAATTGGTAAACCCCATTTAAAAACCCAATTAACTCAAAAAGCAAACGTGGAAATTTTTTATTTACAGTACATATCTAAATCCTTTGTTTTCTTTAACAATTTGTTGTCAGGGTTCTACCAATTTTCAGGTTATATTGCAACTACATTTGAGCTAAGAGGAGGGAAAGCCCCAGAGTTTAAAGATGACAGACATAATTACGTCTCTTGCTTACCACCTTCGTTCGTTCGAATTTTCATCGGCTAGTTATCAAATACTACACTTCGATGGGATGTTTTAATTGATATAGGCATATTCCGTACACCTTTCTTTGTCTTTGATTTGAAATGAGAAGCCATGATAATGGTTAACACGCCAGAAATTAACATAATATGCTCTGATTTGAGCTGCATGCACTTAATATTAAATAATATAAGCAATTGCTTATGTTAGCAACATGATTTACCTGGCCACGTTCCTGGTCCTCTATCACAAAGTTTCTGTTTGGATATATCATCCTCCAATGGTTGACCTGCTGCCTTGCGTCTTATCAACTCTGCAGTTGGGAACTTTGTAGGTTCCACTCCTGAAGGGGGATAGCATTTTAAATTTTTTTTATAGATTCAGGTGCTACATAAATGTACATGTAGATTTTCAAATACCAGGTAATACTTTTTCTTATTTTGATAAACTGGATTTACAACTCATTATATCCAAGAGTAAACAAAAAATGTGGATGTATAAATCCAATAACATAACATAACATTATTAACAGTAACATAATTTCAGGCATATGTTAATTTTAGATACATATTAATTACAGTATATGCTATACTAACTTCCCCTCTTAACATTGTCCACTGTTAGTAAACCATCGTACTGCAGCAATAAGCTTTCTGTGATATCAGCCAAAGTTTCAACAAACTCTTTACCATGGACTTCAGCAGTGTGCTAAAATATATAGAAAACATGTTATAAATAACAAGCTTTCTGTGATATCAGCCAAAGTTTCAACGAACTCTTTACCATGTACCTCAGCAGTGTGCTAAAATATATAGAAAACATGCTATAAATAACAAGCTTTCTGTGATATCAGCCAAGGCTTCAACAAACTCTTTACCATGGACCTCAGCAGTGTGCTAAAATATATAAATAACATGTTATACATGCATTGTAATAAACAAAACACAGTATAACCTGTATACGAGGGTTGTCCCAGAAGTAATGCACTATATGCTCTAACTTTATCAATAATTGATATTTTTCCATGAAATTTTCAGTAAATGTTCCTTAGAGACATTTTGATTATTCTAAAAAAATTTCATGTTGACTGATAAAACTATATTGATGTTATAATAAAATCAAGTTGGTGAGTTTGGGTAGGGCGGGGCAGGTTATACAGTCACGGTCAAAAGGAATAAAAAAAATTGAAAATATGAAATAATTAATCAAAAAATACCATTTGGTGTAGCTATAAGAAGTATGCTCAAAATACATTTTAAGATACTAATTACTATGAGCACATCCTAGATTTAATGGATGTATATTGCACAGTGTCCCATTTCACATTTTCTCAAAATATTGCCCTTTGCATGTTATGTACTTTTGATGTCTGTCATGTCAAACACTCTTGGCAATTTCTTCCACTGTGACTTGTGGAGTTTTTGCCTCACATGTCTTGAGTTGTCATACAGGGTCAAATCGTCTCTTTTAAATCTCTTCTGCCACCCCATTATAAGAAATAAATTATAATTGTAGTTCTATCTGGTATATACTCCTTATATACTTTCTTCATGGTAGCATTGTTTTGCGTGGCTGTGAGTCCAAGTGAAATATGAAACTAGGCCACCAAACGCAAGGCCTTCTGTTATCATGTGAGCATTGCAGCCATTTTTGCAATTTCTTGACTGTGACTGTATTTGAAATGTGGTATTATGACATCACAGTGCTAAATGTCATTTTTCGTACTTGGTTAACATCATGCTGAATAAATTCAACAATTTCCCAAACATTTTGACAATTTAAAGGAAAGAAATTTTAATAAAATAACACTTAAGATCTTTTCATAATTAGAAAAATCGGTACCTGCCCCACCCACCCCTACCCCTATGTTGTTATAGCAACCATATTGAGATTTAATATTAATGTTGGATGCTGAAACTTCAGAATATAATAGATGAAACTTCAATTATTATATACACAAAATTTCAGCTGAATTGAAGAATATTAAAGAAAGTTAGACCATATAGTGCATTACTTCTGGGACAACCCTCGTATCATTAACGCCCCTTAAATTCAAACATCTCTCAATGTGAACACATTTTCTTGCATGCTCCCAATTTAATATTTCTCATAGATTTACATACACTGCCAATCTCAAACTGCATCAAACAGCGTTGTTTATGAAACAGTGCTAGTACTGTTTTTACAGCTATGTGCTGTAAAAACAGTACTGTACAATGATGTTTTCAAAAACAGTGCTGGACAGTGCTGTAAAGACAGTACTGTACAGTGATGTTTTCAAAAACAGTGCCGTACAGCGCTGTAAAAACAGTACTGCGCTGTTCAAAACAGGTGATGCTAGAATTGCATTGTACATTGCTGTACAGCGCAGCACTTGAACTGCACTGTTCAGTAGTGTTCAGTACAGCGCTGTAAGATGATGTTGTGGATTGATAAGGAATCTTGATAGGTGAACACTTTTGATTTGTCCCAATAGCATTAAAAGATGGGTTTTACCATAGAACATATAATATATCTAAAAAAAAAATTATTTATTTAAATCTTAGGTTGACTACGTGACTTAACTTTGACTTTTGTCCAATACACTCTCTTAAATGGATAATGAGAAAAATAAAGGATAAAGAATGAAAAACAATGGATAGATACATGTACATAGAAAATGATACAAAAAATAAAATAAGTGTTATACCTGTAGGAGTTTTGTATGTTCATCAAGGTTTTTAAGGTATTGCTTTCTCCTTTCCTCCTCACTATTACAGAGTTCTGCCAGTTCATCTGCAGCATGGGGATGGCCCAAGGAGGGTCGCAGGATGTTTTCATGCTCAACCTATGGAGATATAGAGGAGAACATGTGATTTATGAAGAATATGATTCTCATCCATGGAATGGATGGAAATTGGCATAAAACATGATATTTTCAATTGAGTTCTGCCAGTTCATCTACAGCATGGGGATGGCCCAAGGAAGGTCGCAGGATGTTTTCATGCTCAACCTTTGGATATGTACAGTAGAGGATAACAAATGATTCATAAAAAACATAATTTCTGTACTGTTATAATCATGGAATATTCTTATTATAGAATGCTGTCAAATTAGCCATCAATATTAGTTAACAAATAAAAAATGATAAAAATATGAAAAATAACCCCAAAAACTGCCATCTCGTAAACTGAGTGCATAATAAATCTCATTACAAGGCTACTTTATTTTCTAAGAAAGCATTTAAAAAAATAGAACTCCAAAAAAATCTGTTTAGTGTTTAATCCACAATTTCAAAGTTGTCACCTACCTTCTTTGAATAAAGTTTCTTAGATTTCTTCTTGAACTGTTTAGCAAGTGTCTCTTGTCCTTCACTTGCACTGGTGAGCTTTTGTTTTAGGGCTTCTTTGATGACGAGTTGTGGAACATGAGCCACTAGCTGTTCTAACTGGACAAGCTGACTACGGAACTCTGCAATTGGTATACAAAGCTATTCAGTCAATTATGGGGAGTAAATTCAAGAGCCTTATGATAAATTGTAGGGAGTGAACTCTACAGCCATGCAATAGATCTGAGGGATAAACTTTAAAAGCCACACTATAAATTATTGGGGGAAAATTCAAGAGCCTTATGATAAATTGTAGGGATTGAACTCTACAGCCATGCAATAGATCTGAGGGATTAACTTTAAGAGCCACACAATAAAGTATTGGGGGTAAAAATTCAAGAGCCTTATGATTAATTGTAGGGATTGAACTCTACAGCCATGCAATAGATCTGACAGATTAACTTTAAGAGCCACACAATAAAGTATTGGGGGTAAAAATTCAAGAGCCTTATGATTAATTGTAGGGATTGAACTCTACAGCCATGCAATAGATCTGACAGATTAACTTTAAGAGCCACACAATAAAGTATTGGGGGTAAAAATTCAAGAGCCTTATGATTAATTGTAGGGATTGAACTCTACAGCCATGCAATAGATCTGACAGATTAACTTTAAGAGCCACACAATAAAGTATTGGGGGTAAAAATTCAAGAGCCTTATGATTAATTGTAGGGATTGAACTCTACAGCCATGCAATAGATCTGACAGATTAACTTTAAGAGCCACACAATAAAGTATTGGGGGTAAAAATTCAAGAGCCTTATGATTAATTGTAGGGATTGAACTCTACAGCCATGCAATAGATCTGACAGATTAACTTTAAGAGCCACACAATAAAGTATTGGGGGTAAAAATTCAAGAGCCTTATGATTAATTGTAGGGATTGAACTCTACAGCCATGCAATAGATCTGACAGATTAACTTTAAGAGCCACACAATAAAGTATTGGGGGTAAAAATTCAAGAGCCTTATGATTAATTGTAGGGATTGAACTCTACAGCCATGCAATAGATCTGACAGATTAACTTTAAGAGCCACACAATAAAGTATTGGGGGTAAAAATTCAAGAGCCTTATGATTAATTGTAGGGATTGAACTCTACAGCCATGCAATAGATCTGACAGATTAACTTTAAGAGCCACACAATAAAGTATTGGGGGTAAAAATTCAAGAGCCTTATGATTAATTGTAGGGATTGAACTCTACAGCCATGCAATAGATCTGACAGATTAACTTTAAGAGCCACACAATAAAGTATTGGGGGTAAAAATTCAAGAGCCTTATGATTAATTGTAGGGATTGAACTCTACAGCCATGCAATAGATCTGACAGATTAACTTTAAGAGCCACACAATAAAGTATTGGGGGTAAAAATTCAAGAGCCTTATGATTAATTGTAGGGATTGAACTCTACAGCCATGCAATAGATCTGACAGATTAACTTTAAGAGCCACACAATAAAGTATTGGGGGTAAAAATTCAAGAGCCTTATGATTAATTGTTACCATGAAATATATCTAAGGGATTAACTTTAAGAGCCAGACATTAAATTATTGGGGGAAAGTTCAAGAGCCTTATGATTAATTGTAGGGAGTGAACTCTACAGCTATGCAATAGATCTGAGGGATTAACTTTTAATAAATTATTGGGGGAAAATTCAAGAGCCTTATGATAAATAACTAAGAGTAAGTTCAAGAGAGTTAATTAACATTTGCCTGTGAAATTACCTTGCAAGCAATCATTATGATATTCATCTGTCTGTTTGTAGTAAGATTCTAGCTTAGTGATGACTGTATCAGCACATTGTTCAAATGTTTCTTGTAGTGCCTGGGGTCGCGTCACAGCCCTACTGCCTTTCTGACGATAGTATAACTACAGAGAAAATGCAAAGACATTTAAATAAGACTTGGTCTTGAAGTCACAGTGGAAAATTGTCTTTGAACATAGGTATCATAAATCAGGCCCCATCTTGAAATCATGGTGGGAAATAATGATAATGTCCAAACATATGTTTTGAAAATGAATATCTTGAAATCACAGAGGGAATTTGAATTTGATGAGGTCTTTTACATGGGCTTCAGGAATGGTTCTTTCTTCCAATCACCTTGTCAGAATCACATACATTAATTAAAAGTAAAATGTAAATAATAGTTTATCATTTAGAATATCACCTTTGAAAGATGACCTTTCACAATACAATAGAAAGCAATGTTTCCACAGGGTACATAACATGGAAAATCGCCTAAACAGGAAAACAGCATAATTAACTGAAAATCATACTAATCAAATAAGTCCTGCATCAAGCTTCATTCTGCCCCAAATTCTTGACTGACATAATTGAAAGAAAAAATAGGGGGTGGGGGAGGGGTGGTAAATCCAGAGACATGATGCAAGACTATTAACAATTCAAAACATTGAAAAAGTAATTCTTATTCTAATTTAATCATTAGTCGATAACTCACAACTTCTTCAACATGAATGGCATATTCCTAAAATCAGAGATGATATGATGACGCAACATGTAAAGTTTATGGATTCAAAGAGGCCATTTATTATTTTTTCAGAAAATGAGTTGTTTAAACATGAATAGCGTATCCCTAGGATCTGAAATAATGACAATGCACCATGATTACTTTATAATAAATTGAAACAAGACGAGAACTTTTTAAAATATAAACATATTTGTGTGTGAACATTGATGCAGTGTCTCGTCCCTATATTACATTGCATAAAATGAGGCCCCAATTATCAAACAATGATGTGACCTTGACCTCACCTCTGCTGTTGCTAGGAGACCATCCTGAGCCTCACGCAAGATCTGCTGTATATGACCCAGGAAGTGAAGCTCATCGCCCTCTGCTGCCTCTGCGGGAAATGGAAGCTGTTTGCGTTCATGTTTGTTCCCCTTACTGATGATTCGTCGTGTCCTATAAAATATAACCACTCAAATTTGAATAGAGTTTTCACTGATTTTCATTTCAGTTTGCATATGTAGTGTTAACAAAAATTTTTCTTCAAGTGTGGACTGACCACTATGGACACTTTCTACAAATATGAAGTTACAAACTGCAAATTAAATATTTATTCCGAGGCTTTCTGAATAAAGACGATCGTAACATAATGATGCTTGAAAAAAGATCCAATTACAATTAATCGGTTCAGAAAACACTGGGGTCAAGCTACACATTTTATGAGGATCTGTACATGAATGTGCAATATTATGATCCCAAGAGATTAATGCCCCCCCCCCCCTTGAAATGGCTTACAGGGTGACCAAAAATGAGATTGTTTCAGTCCCATTTTTGGGATCACCCTGTAATATGATGAACAATATTAGAAACAACACAATTTAAATGAAAGCATTAGGTATTTATCAGAATGAAGCATAGTTAAAGGAAAAGCAAGAGGTGATGCTTGAGAAGTAACTTTGAAACTTGAGAAATAGAGAGATTGAACTGAAAGATTCCAACAATATTGGTGCATTTGTGACAATTTTATGGAACTGATGCTTTGCTATTAGCTTTAAAATCTCACTTAAAGTCTCATTTTTAATGAGATCTCGTACATATACAATTACATGTACATGTATATATGATAGACAACTTTTAATTCGAAGGATCCTGGATTTTATACCCATGTGAACATACATAAATTCAAGATGACTTTTATTTTACAGTGTCTCTTGCAAAACTTGGGAATGAAGTGAATGGATTTAAAACATTGAGGTGTGTAGAAACTATGTCTATCTAAAACTATGCCCCTCAAGCCCAAAAGTGAGCCCAAATTTGGAAATTTTGAGACCCATTTTCTTCAAAATTTAGCCTGAAATTAAAAAATAAGGCATTACAAGGTCCAGTTATGACCCAAGGCCTTTTTTGGCCCAAAAATGACCCAATTTTTTTCTGGGCCCACCCAAAGAGGGGGGCCTGGGCCCCCAGATCCGCCAGTGAATCGTATGCCCAAAATTAACTGAATCTTAATTTTCACTCCTTCAATTGAAATAGATGGCTCTGTTGGGAATCATATACTGTATACCCACATACAGGGGCACATACTCAAAAGTTTATTGCAACTAGGATTCGGACAGAATTTAACAGATTTGGGAAAGGAACAGATTTTGGAACATTCTGTACCTTCAGAATTCAAAACTTATCTTAATGCATATTGTCAGTGATCGTCTCTTTAATAAGTATGAAATATTTGATGGAATATAAAACTTAATAAATAAATAAACTCATTTATAAGTTATTGTTTTTTGTTGTTAGATTGCTATACCAATATTAAAAGCATTCTTTACAGAAAACGATGAATTCTGAAAATATCAGAAAATGAAGGGTGGCTCTGAAACTCTATTTTCAAAGATAGAATCAGACAGATCGGACAATAATGTCAGCCTGTGTCAGTCCTAACTGCTACATTAAAATGCGTACAGCCTTGATAATTACATAATAGCACAAGTTGGATCACAATGTTATGTATATATACTTCATTGAATGATCAAGACTGTATCGCAAAGTATGAGATCATAGCACAGAAATAAGCACACAAACACAGCACACAATGTTAACTTACCAATAATATTATGTTGGGGTGAGATGAAAAATCAAACAAATGATTAAACACATTTCAAATATGCAATGGTTTTAGAGCATTTAAATACAGGATTATCAAAGAAAACAATTCTTTTTGTAGGTTCGTAAAAACTGTTATAACGTAAAACTGTACATTTTCACAATTACGTTCACACAACATAGAATTTATACCAATCAGACCTTGTCCTAACAACAAGGAAATAAAAATCATATCCCCTTGTAAATAGTGCAATCACATCCAAGGACAGGGTGGTCCAGAAGTAATGTCAAAGATGTTGCCATTTCAATACTACTGGACCAATCTTCTTGAAACTTGAAACTTAAATTATTGATTTAACACCTGAGGAATAGGGCTTGTACTATTTGATTGGTTAATTTCATGGTTACTATGGTAACCCGATGTGACATCACACTGAACACCACAATAATATGAGTTGCCAAACTGTACCATATAGCGAAAGGGACACAGTCACATATTAATATAAAATATATATTATAAACACATATATACATGTAATGGTGGACGGACAGGGAAACCAACTGAAAAACACAGCAGGGGGCTGGTTCTATCCCAGAATTCAAAGATGAACCTCTTCAGATGAACCTTTATGTATATCGTCCCATAAAGGTCATCTTTGAATTCTGGGCTCTTCCCTCTCTTTACCCAAACATTGGACTTACACTACAATATTTGAAATAGTCTGCGGGATAGGCCTAAAATATCAAAAGCAATTTATTTTCTGAATAATTAAAAATGCTATATCTAAGATGTATGCAAGGTCACAATACAATTGTAGATCTAAAATACATGGATTTAAGCAATGGTTTTAACGCACAAAACCAAGTTTCTATTGCAAGATAAAAACTTATAAATAAATAAGCTTAACTAACTGATTTTCCTTGATACCGTAAACATGAATTTACAATATCGCATCCATTTATTTAGATTCCCAAAGTCTGTAAACATGTGAGTTTGTAACTCTACACGTATCTACAGCAATATTGACTAAAATAAATACGATATTAAAATATTAAATAAATTTATATTAAAAGCAGCTTTATATAGTAAAAATACTTACGCTGAGGGCTGTCTCTTAGCTTCTGAAGATGGAGTCGCAACAGCGCTTTTAAGACTTTTTGTAGATTTGTTATTCAGCGACTTGCTGTCATTGGTCATTCGAGATTGTCTGGAGACTCTTGATTGGATTCTGTCCCTAGATTCCCGAACGGGTTCAATAGTTGTTATCGTACCTGTGGAGATAAAATATATTATTATTTTTAAATAACTCAATTTGATTGGTCAGAGAATAGTCGATATTTCTGACTATTGATCATGTGATATATTGGTGGTTAAAAGTACTTGATAATTCATTTATCTAGATATTCCTAAAATGATGTCATGATAATGTATTTACCTAAGAAAGATATTTCTAAAATGATGTCATGATAATATATCAGATTTAAAATTGTGTTATATGATGTAATGTATCATGACAGAAAATTGCATGATATGATGTCAATATAATGAATCAGATGGAAAATGATGCAAAGCGATGTCATGATAATGTATCAATTGTAAAATGGTGCTATATGATGTTATGATAATGTATCATGACAGAAAATTGCACAATATGATGTAATGATAATGTATAAGATGGAAAATTATGTGAAATGATGGCATGATAATGAATCAAATGGAAAATGCAAAGTGATGTCATGATAATGTATAAATTGTAAAATGGTGCTATACGATATTATGATAATGTATCATGACAGAAAATTGCACAATATGTCAAAATAATGTATCAGATGGGAAATGGTGTGAAATGATGTCATGATAATGTATCATGACAGAAAATTGCAAAATATGTCACAATAATGTATCAGATGGGAAATGGTGTGAAATGATGTCATGATAATGTATCATGACAGAAAATTGCAAAATATGTCACAATAATGTATCAGATGGAAAATGGTGTGAAATGATGTCATGATAATGTATCAGATGGAAAATGGTGTGAAATGATATGAATCAGGTGCAAAAAATGATGGCACAGTTTTTCATAATTCTGCTATTCATGAAAAAATAAGTTGCTGTGTGTTGTGATTATAAACTAAAAAAAGAATTGATAAACATTTTTTATACATAGGTTAATGTTTCTCCTGTTTTAAAAGCATTTTCAAAACACCACATCTATAAAACATCACAGCTACATAGTATACATCAAAAGTACATGACATCACGTCACATGTACAAAATGTCATATTTAGATCATCATAAGTGAGGGTGTTTTAGTAATGCAATGTTTGATAAAATATCACATGTACGTGACATCACATCACGACATGTATGTGACATCACATCACATGTACGTGACATCACATCGCATGTACACAACAGGATGTAACAAGTACATAAGTCACATGTAGATCATGTGAGGACATTTTAGATATGCATTGTTTGATAAATAATATGCACTTCTATTTTTGCAAATAACAGGTGCACAATCTACTTTTTTTGCAAACACATACTATATTACTATTATATTATACTATATTTATTTTATGCTTTCTACATTTACATGTGGTAATGTTTTGAATCACAATTGCCCCATCCCATTCCACCTCTCTCTTGTGTGATAGAGTGAATATGAGGGGGAGGGGGGTAAATGTGAGCTCATTTACAAGTTACTACATATAATATATCATAATTGTACATGTATATTTCGAATTTGAAATAAAGAATATTATAAAATGTCCTTTCAACAAATTGAAATAATTAATGAAAGAGATAATAATTATTAAGAAACAACACATTTATTCTTCTTGACGGATTAGTAGAACTCAACTAACTACAAAAACATGGCTATTTTTGATGTTATATTTTTGAGGCAAATAAGAATTTTTGCACGTGGTTGTGTTAGAACTTAAGTCCCATCACCTACAATGCAGTGGAGCACACATCACACAGTTACCATAGCAACATATACTGGTCTCCATGGTAACACTATACAAATCTAAGTACTCACTTGGAGTTGAAACCCGACCTGATATAAGAAATTAGGGAAAAAAAATCATGAAAGTTTTACAGAAAAATATTTCAATAAAGATCTCAAAAGGTCAAATCTAGAAAATGTTAGGAAAAAGAAGTTAAAACATAATTAAAAATATTTGATTGCACTGTGTTATGTTACACAAAATTTTTAGACACAAAAATCTATGAAATTTTAAATATTTTAGAATCAAAATCATGTTAACAAATCTAAAACAAAAATCCTATTACTAAAAATGAAATCTATGAAATGTTAAACATTAACAAATCAAAATTGTGTTGTCAAAATAATAAAATCTATGAACTGTTAAAACTTTTAGACATATATGCATAGGATTAGAGAACCATTTGTAATTCTAGTGAAGAAAATTAAAATCTAAAAACATGAAAAATGAAACTAAATGTTTTTTGCTACCTTGTTGAGCGCTGCCCTCTATATTGTCTGCATCAGGTCCAGCAGTTTTGAGTTTTTGGCTCCTGAAAAATATGGATAAATAAATGAAAAATATCATCTTGCTTTTAAACTGAGAAGTGAAGATTTTAGGTCTGAATTAAACTCTGAATTCTTAGACAATTCCATAATTCAGCAGCCTCGTTCCCACAACTACTACATATACCAGGCCCATAGTTATATCATAATCATGCAGTTTTTCACCATTCTGGACACTCCAAGTGATTTGGCCATTTTTGGGCCAAAGTTGTCAAAAGTGAACCCAGCTTGGAATTTTTCAAAACCCCCTTGACAAATCCTGGCTACTGGTCTGTATACAGACTTGAATATAGCCATATTGACCAATGGACCAAAACCTAGCTCATTCCATATGCTCTCTTTATGTGTCACAATAAAAAGTGTTCAAAACTGAGATAATTAATAATTATACATACTTGAGTATAGATTTGATGACGCCAACAGAGGGGTCCTCAGTTGGTTGTTTTCCTGGTCTGCTCACGGCAGTTACTTCGCTGTTGAACATCACCTCTTTACGACCAACTACAATAATAATTCTATGAATGTTCATCTCTCTGGTAGTAATGTACTATTAACAAAGTTGTTGATTTTCTTTCTCAGGAGATATTTATTTTTCTTTTCGACGTTTGGTAGGAAGAAGTAGGATGGACATCAATAATAATGTACAGGGAGTCCATAAACAATGGCAAATCCCTCTTGAAGAAAAACTATGCAATACAGACATAAATGTATGCATCAATACAGCTCTCTTTAAAAATTAGAAAAAGTTAAACTATTCGAAGACTGTATATGAACCCCTCTTTTGAAGAACCGAAATCAAACGATTGTAAAAGATATGTACTACAACTACAAGTTTGAGTGGTGATACATTGTTACCAGAGTGGAATATTTCCTGTTTCACATAAGCTGAAACATGTGATGGTGATTTAATCACATGTCTATGAACTTTGAAACATTTTGAATTGGTAAAACAAAAATTGAACCCTTGGGAAAAGCATACCATCCACAGATGAAGCTCTCTTTTTTTCTTTTTAATTTTTTTTTATTTCAAAGAAAAAACATGTTAAAGCAATTGCAAAAACAATTACAATACAGTTACATGGTAAACATACACTTTATAGTTTTACAATACAGTATTTGTTAAATGTTAGTCTTTAAGAAATTGAAGAAGTAAAATAAAACTGGGAGAGAAAATTTACCAAGATTGGCTGAAGAAGGTCTAGACAGCTCCGCTTTGGTTGAGTTGAGGTAGACGCTGCGAGCATTGAATGCATCAAATACATACTGTAAACTGTCACTCAGCTCTTGTACACTAATTTGCTAAAAAGAAGAACAAAATATGGTTGAGTTGAGGTAGACACTAAAAGTGTTGAATGCATCAAAGACATACTGTAAACTGTCACTCAGCTCTTGTGCGCTAATTTGCTAAAAAGAAGAACAAAATATGGTTGAGTTGAGGTAGACACTAAAAGTGTTGAATGCATCAAAGACATACTGTAAACTGTCACTCAGCTCTTGTACGCTAATTTGCTAAAAAAGAAGAACAAAATACTTCTATAAACGTCATTGACATCCAAGTTAATTGAAATCTCTTAACGAGACAAACATAAAAATCATGCATTCCTCCAAATTAGAAAGTATATATACTGATAGGTGTATGTAGTTATAACTAAATATTTGTCAATTGATACAAATCATAAACAATTGCAAAATGTCACAACCTGCCATTTGTTACAGACACCATATCATTTCTTACAGATACCGACCACTGTCCAATGAACTCTGAATATCAACCACCATCCACAAAAAGGTTGGAGACTACAACAATATGTCACCATGGTGATGGTGACATAACAATGTTAGAACACAGGGAGTGAGCCACACCACCTTATTGTATTCAGTATACAAGTAAGTATATATAGCAGGCCCGTAGCCAGGGGGGGTTCGATGAGTTCGAGCGAACTTTTTAAGTGATTTTTTCCATTTTTGGACCAAAATTGTCACAAGTGAACCCCCCTGGTATTTCTCAAAAAGTGAACCCCCTTGGCAAATCCTGGCTACGGGCTTGTATAGGCTAAAAAGAAGGGGGTGAATTATTCCCTTTGTTGGAGGGGTTATAAATGAGGCTAAGTCTCACCATGCTGGGTAATATCACATCATCTATTAAAATTTTGCAAAACAATAAAATTGAAACTTCTATAATACAAAACAAAAATGATTGAAAATAAAAAAAGCTGTATTTTTTGTTTCATCATATTCTGACTCATTTTTCCGCTGTATATGGTTCGATTGTTCTCAGATATTTATGACATTAATTTCATTGCAATAATGAAAAAAAATATTGGTATTCTGTCCATAATTGCATAAAATGCAACCATTTCTGAAAAGTATATTTAATAGGATATATCTCTGATCTCACATGGGGGAGGAGTAGTCACAATACCACAAAAAATCTGGGGTCTAAAATTGACACTAGAAGACAGGCAGCTGTGAATTTGACATTCGTGTTAATATGTAAGATGAACCACTGGGTTCTCATCAGGAAATTTTTAGACCCTGGATTATTCGCGGTATTGCGACTACTCCTCCCACGTGAGATCAGAGATATCCTATTTATATATACTTTTCAGAATACTACTTAAGATTATCTTCCTATTGTAATCACAATATACATTTCCAAAAGGTTTTTGACCTCCTATTCCTTGTTTGTATCCAGTTTTATGTATTTTCTCAAAAGTTTTACCACAAAAAATGAGATAAAAATGTAAAATAAGACTCCCGAAAAGACACTATAGACTCCGGAAAAGCTAGTAGACTCTAAATCAAGAGGGTCTACAGACATTAGACTCCGGAGAATCACCAGAGTCTAAAAGCCTAGTGAGAACCCTGTGGACTACTGAAACTTTTATGGTATAGGAGTACATTTCTATTATGATAAACAGTAGAAAAATGAGTCAAAAATATAGCGAAACAAAAAAGTTTTTATAAGTTATTATTGATTAATTAGTATATGTGTCATGCTTTAATAAAAATAAACAAACCCCTGGAAAGAACTGGGATAATCTGAATGGTATTTATTCCTGCATACAGTTTAACTCTAATTATTACCACCTTGCTGGGTGCTAGTTTAGAAGGCATTCATTTTACTATATCGACCTGAGCAATATGGGACGTCATAGCAGCCGTGAATATTGCCGGTCAAGAATGCAATTGATGACTGGCAATTTTCCCCGGGAAATTACGTATCGTTCAGAGCGTAAGATTTTCTTGTTGTTTCAGTCCTGGTCATTAACGGTGGTAATAATACTAATAACATCATTTCTGCCTTCGGCTATCAGTCCAATATTTCACCATATTGCCCTTATAAATGACGTTATTGTACTATTATTCATCTTATTTCAACTGATGATACACATTTTACTTAAGCATATGGATCAAAAAATAAATACAAGGCGTCAATAAAAATCATATCTAACTGGAAAATATTTAAATATTTTCATATTCTCCCATATGCCATTGAATAATTTCAAAGCATACAGAAATATGAAAATCATTTAAAAATAAATGAAATTCTATAAAAAAGAAAATGTTTTTGTACTTAATGTTTGGAAAGCAATCTCTAATATTCCACTTTGTAGATGAATTAGTAAAAATACTTAAATTTAAACAAAATACAAAATTAAACAAAACCATTACAAACTTACCACATCCTTTGTGGAAATAAAATAAACAAATAAACAAAACATTATATGAATATATAAACATTAATTCAATTCGATTAACAACAAACGAAACACAACACTACGGATATTATAGTTTCTCCATGTAAAGTTCATGCCTCTCTTGGCTCTAAGGGCGAGGCCAGAACCATAAATAGTTGAGGCAAATCTAGATAGCTGAGGCAAAAACATAAACCAAGAAGGTGGCCATTATATCATACTGTCATACATGTTACATTACAATATAAATTCAGTATCTTTCATAAGTCAAAATTTTTGCATTTGTAAAATGCCCCATGTAAAGTTTTTTCAGTTAAAATAATATGTGAATCATTAATTCAACAACTTTTCAAACTCTACACAGGGCCTTTAAATTGGTACGATAGTAAGTGCTCACTTCAATCAATTCAATCAAAACAAATATCCTCTGACCCTACCTCTTTATCCAGATTAGGTCTCTCACAGGCGTCAATCCTCCGTTCCAGGTCCCTCAGGTTCTGCACACGAGCCTGCGCTTGCGAGTTACTCTCCGCCACTTCCGCCTTTATCTTCACTTGCGTGTTTGTCAGCCATCTTGCAATTTTTTCCATGAAGATCAGGTCGAACATATGGCTCTTGAACCTGAAAATTTTTCATTTTTTTATTCATTATTTTTTCTGTCTCTGTTAATTTCGCCTGAGACCTGAAATGTACTCCCTGTACCTGTAATCCTGACTATGTTTGACCAGCTCTTATTGCTCCAAGGGAGCGGAAATTGACTCACTAGGTTTCTTTCAGGATAAGCAATTCGACAATTCAATTTTAATTCTGTTCAAATCACCTCCCCTTTCTGCATTTAGGTCTCACGCAAACATATGAATGGTCTATAAAAGTTACGTTTAAGCCATACCTGTCTTCAAATTCAGCAGCAACCTTTGTTGCATGGTCGAGCCGCTTTGCTTCCATGCCCTCAAGGTCAGCCATAATAAAGCCCTCTGATGAATCAATCTTGTTTGACATTTTCTCCAGGCGTTTTCTATATTCTTCAATCTCTTCGGGACAGAAGTTTCCACCATCTGAGAAAACCCTAAAAGAAACCAATTTCAACAACTTTAATACAACCTAATGTTTATTTGTATTCATTTAAAACCAAACCTCACCAGACCTCAACTTAGCGGAAGTATTTGAGGCAAATCCAAATGGAGCTTTAACATACCACTATTAAGCTTGCTACAGAGAGTAGAGAGATACAGAGAGTACTCTCAGTCCCATACATATTAGCCAAGATACTGCCAAGCAGCATAAAATGATGACAATATATGCCAAAAATCAGTTACTCAAATGACTTATCTAATTGCAACTTCAATTTAAGTAACCATTTAAATACAACAGCAATGGGCCTCAAGATGATGGAAAACTTAAAGGAGATGCTTTGGAGGGGTCGGTCCTAGTGCTATTATCCCCTCTAGGTAAAAGGGCAATTTGCAATAGCAAATTTTTCGAAAGTAGATATTTTCAGTGTATATTCTTACTTGAATGATTTGATGAATTTAGCATTAGATCCTCGTAACATCTGTAGCGTTGAATCCAGATGTTGTCGGAAGTCTCTCAAAGAGGCACGAATGACACTCATATATTCCTCCAATTCAACTTGGATCTGGTTCTGGAGTTCTACCAACCTAAAGAATAAACCACGCTATGATAGGTTGCTAAGACGACCATGAGGACACTCATCCGCGGAGCTGTAGCGTAACAATCCAGATACGCGAGTGTTCTAAATCCAATGCCTCACGCATGAATTGAACTCAGGACCTTTTGCTCTTTAGACAGATGCCCTACAACTGAGTAATAAGGGCTAGTCACTACAGCTAAGACTAGTAATAACTTGTTATAGAGGGTCATTATTATAATACTTACAAATTAAATCTTTTATTTCATTCATTACATAAATAACAACACTGTAATTGGAATTTCCTGCTTAGAACTATATCTCCAAGGAAATTATGTTATCAGATGAGAAAATATACAAACATAACAAGAAGACAATTTTCCTTAAGCATATGAGAAAATAACACAAGAGAACAAAAATTCCTTCATCTTTAGAGTACCTTCCAAATTAGTATTCCTACAGAAAGGTTTTACTCTACTTTAACTTGAACAAAAACAAACGTGGCTTACTTTGATGACTTTGTGGCATTGATGAAGATCACCTCCAGCTGTTCAATATCATGTTTAAACTTGCTTGCTAGCTTATTGTGGTCATGATTCATATTATTGAATGTGTGCTTGAGATCATTGAGACTTTGGATGATTCCTTTACAATGCCGAGACACTCTCTCACTGTGCATTACTAACTCAGCTGAAATACATAGTCATACAAATTAAGCATTGATCTGCTAGCTTATTATGGTCATGATTCATATTTTTGAATGTGTGCTTGAGATCGTTGAGACTTTGGATGATCCCCTTACAATGTCTAGACACTCTCTCTAGACTGTGCATTACTAACTCAGCTGAAATGCATAGTCATACAAATTAAGCATTAATCATTGACAATGAATGCATTTTGTAATTAAATAGCAATTCGGTTAGTATTTCTATTGAATCTAATAATTTTTTTTAAGGTTATTTTATTTCATTTTTATCACATTTACAAGTTGAAAAAAAACTGTTAATACATATATTTTTCAAACAATGTGATTGAAATACAAACCTAAGTCAAAATACATTTTAGTAAAGATCAAACGAGAAAATATAATGATCCATCCTCAGAGTAGAATCAGCCTTTAGCTATTCAAGACCAAATCAACTAACCTGCTCTAACATTGTGTACATCCATCTCTGCTCTCCTGGGCCGCGGCTGGTGTAAATGTAACCTCAGATCCAACTCACTTGTCAGTTCTTCAGTCTGGAAAAGAAAAACAATGCATAAACATAATGAAATGTGTAACAATTGTCACAGATGTCAATGCGTAACAATAGACATTGCATGGCGAAAAGCTGAGATGATTTTACCATGTTGCAACCTATTGGTGGTAACGTAAAACACTAACACAAGAGAATCTATTTCCTCCGTAGTTAAAAGTTATTTTGAACCAAAGCATACAATTTATGCTCTAAACAACATTTACCTTTATAGGGTTACCAAATGCCTTGGTCACATTTGCCCCGATCCATCGGCCAGCACCTGCCCGATTGAGTGTTTTGTTCAATATTGTATTTAATTTTGAACAAAATACTCAATCGGCCAGGCACCGTAGAGAAAATTGGAGCAAATGTGACCAAGGCATAATACAGCACTGATGTGCTATGTATTAATTAGAGTAGTTATTACCTTTGCAGCGACTACACTTTTGGACCTGTCAACCGCCTGTTCATGCCATTCTTCCACATGGTCAAGGAAGTTTAGACGGATCCTAAAATATACAAATGTAACTGAAAATTAAATATGAATTAATTATTAAAGACATATTCAAATACTGCAAGTAAAGGTATAGTTATTGCAATAGAAACTGAGTTAAAGATATTATAATATATAATAACCCTTAAATTGAAAACGTGTGAATTAAGTTTCCTGTAACAGTACATGGTATAAAGTTTGTCTCCCCGGATATAGATAATTTTTTTCTCATGGATACTTACGCATTTTTTATTTCCATAATAAGGCTCTTTGGAACATCAATACTAGAAAGATATGGGGGTAGAGATTCTGTCGGTTCCTCCCCCTGGGTGAGGAATGCTGACGTTGACCCAGGCCTGTCCCCGGGGGCTGGGCTGGATACTCCGTGTTCCCCGGCTACTGTTAAGACGTAGAATGTTGTCCCCTTGGCTGTAGATAGAACCTCACTCACTGCCATTGGAACAGGAGTTGTAGCACCCTACAAGCAAATATTTAACAAACTTATTTTCAATAAATAGTATATAAATTATTCAATAAAAAAATCATTGGAACAATTGTGAAAAGAATCTTTCAAAGGGCATTTGCTAGTATTTTCAAAAATGTTCTATGGGGGGGGGGGTTATTTGACAATTTTGGCCAAAATCACCTAAAAAATGCTCAAAACAGGGAAAAACTGTTCTGAACTTTACAGACCCATAGCCTGGGGGGGTTGCAGGGTTTGGGCAAACCCCCCCCCCCTGGCCTAAAATTAAATGTGAACCCCTTGGAAATGAACAACCCTTGGAAAACTAACCCACCCCCTCCCTTGGCAAATCCTGGCTACAGGCCTGCTTTATATGATCAAAGCAATGCCTTAAATAGCTATAATTATTTATTGATCAAAACAATGACAGCTTTTCTCAGCATGAACCTAGATTTTAACTGTTTGATTAATTTTACATGTATTAGTATATATCAATAAGATTATTGGAGATTATTAATTAAATATGGCTGATTGCCATTTTCCAGATTTTCATATTTAGTTTTTCATACTTAAATTTTCATATTTTAATATCTAAATTTTGATTTTTACATTTTAATGTAATTTACATTTTCAATATCACTGTATTCTAATCACGTCTATATTTATATTTATTTACATTTTCATTATTATTGTATTCTAATCACGTCTATATATTTATATTTATTTATATTTTCATTATTATTGTATTCTAATCACGTCTATATTTATATTTATTTATATTTTCATTATTATTGTATTCTAATCACGTCTATATTTATATTTATTTATTTTTTCATTATTATTGTATTCTAATCACGTCTATATTTATATTTATTTATATTTTCATTATTATTGTATTCTAATCACGTCTATATTTATATTTATTTATATTTTCATTATTATTGTATTCTAATCACGTCTATATTTATATTTATTTATATTTTCATTATTATTGTATTCTAATCACGTCTATATTTATATTTATTTATATTTTCATTATTATTGTATTCTAATCACGTCTATATTTATATTTATTTATATTTTCATTATTATTGTATTCTAATCACGTCTATATTTATATTTATTTATATTTTCATTATTATTGTATTCTAATCACGTCTATATTTATATTTATTTATATTTTCATTATTATTGTATTCTAATCACGTCTATATTTATATTTATTTATATTTTCATTATTATTGTATTCTAATCACGTCTATATTTATATTTATTTATATTTTCATTATTATTGTATTCTAATCATGTCTATATTTATATTTTCATTTTTATTTTATTAGGCCTAATATAGGATAACCTCTCTCTATTTACTGAAACCTATACAGAAAAAATGCAGTAAACATAAAAAATAAATCATGATACATTTAATACTTTTGTGTTTTGTTCATTTTAAATAAGTATTTTTTGCAAAATGAGAGTTTAAAACCCATTAAACCAATAGCGCTAGGTGCATACTCTAAATGAATCCTTTAAATATACTCTTTCACCTTTTAAGTGAAAGCACCATGGTTTAATTACTTTAATTGGTCATAGTGTATACACACATTGGAAGTCTGGGCCACATGCAAATATTAGCACGGCTCAGACTTACATTCGTCATATCTACTGAACTAGTTTGGTTTTGTGATGATTTATGTGTGATGTGATTGTCACACTTTAATTTGGTTTATCGTATGATCTGTAAAATGAAGCCTTCTGATTGGTCAGTTCTTGTGCTGTACCAATCTGTATTGCTACTGAGATTGTCCACATTGATCATCTCTGTCGCAATACAGAAAATATTGGTATGGAAGGGACAATCTCAGTAGCAATACAGAGGATCACACGATAAAAACGTTATTGAATGATTTGAAGTGCAATACAGGATACATTCTGTCTCGATATTCTGTATTGGCACTCGACTTCGTCTCGTTCCAATACGGAATTTCTTGAGCAGAATATACCCTGTATTGCACTTCAAATCATTCAATAACTCATAGTATTATGATGGAAAGAATTACTGAAGATATTTTAATATTCATTTGTATAAATGTATCCACGAGAACTAGAAACTAGCCTATGTATCAGGGTATCAGTATTTCATCTTAAATTCACTATTATTTCACAAACTGATTTTATTCGCAAGTGAAATCCGTCAATATAATAGACTTCTTACCAGACATGTACAGTGAAACCTGTCTAAACTGAACACCTCTAGAACCAGCCGAAAATGTTCAGATTAGCAGGTGTTCACATTGGCAGGTGTTCATATTAGCAGGTGTTCACATTTCAAGGTTTATAAACATGCGAGTCAATTAGAGATTGGAAATTTTGCAGAGAAAAAGTGTTCACATTGAGAGGTATATGAATAAGGGAGGTGTTCAGATATAGAGGTTTTACTGTTGTATTTATCCACATCACTAAAATAAACCGACTCACTAAGCTAACAAACTAGTTCAATAGCTCCATTCAATGCGAGTCACATGTCAATGAAAAGGGCAGATTAGCATGACAAAACCTTACCTGTTAGCACTATAGCTAAGTACACAGCCAAAACTTACATTATATGAACAGATTTCACTTTACGAATTAACTATAGAGCTTTAGGGAGGAATTTCTTCAATATGTTGGATTAAATTCATTAATATAGAGGGAAATATGAAGTTATAAGAAATTTTAACGCAGAAAAAACAGGTTTGACAGGTATGTATACTTTCATTGAATTGGTGATAAAAAGGAAAAAATACTCGCAATAATGTGACAATAAAAATATTTAGTTTCTTTTGGCCTATAAAACTGTTGAAAAATTTCTTGTCAAAGGGGGTCACTCGACGTGTATAGCTACATGTAGCTGTTTGATGGCTGAAATAATCAATAAAGCAAAGGATAGTCATTATTTTGAATTAAATATCAGCCCCCAACTCTCTTTATACGAGACCAAGAGAAAAAACATCCTAAATTTGAAGACTGAAGTTTGGACAATGTAAGAAATGGAGAAGTAAATGGGAGGGGGGGCTATTGTAGGTGTATATTACATTTTAACTTATCACATTGTTAACTAAACACATTGTTAAGATATAATGGAATATAGGATTAAACTCTAAATTTTGATTCAAATGTGTTATAATATTCAGCCAATATTTTTCAATCAGGACATGGGCTTTCAATTAGAGTTGAGCTGCTAGTTGAAAGCCCATGATCAGGATAATAATGAACTTAAAAAATATCATTTCAAAAAGGTCATGCGGAAAAACCTTGAGCACTGAACACTTTAAAGATAACTTATCATCACTTAGATATTCCCCCATGGGGCATAATTATAATTAGACCTGTTTGTTCCCTATCAACGCATCAGTAGGTATATATTCATAGTGGTATAAATAATGCAGAGAAAAAGCCCATAAAAAGTCCACATTTGATATCGTTAAGAAATCTTATAGTAATACATCAAATGGTATAATGTGGCTATAACAGTTTTGGATCAAATAGATAATAAATCAAATGGTATAATGTGGCTATAACAGATTTGGATCAAATATAGTGTAAAACAAGGCCTTTCTTAAGCTGTAACAAATAGTTATAAAAGTGTAACAATTTGTCACAAACCACTAATTGCTGGATGCTCAATCATAAATATATGTGGCTGTAACAATTATAGACACATGTAGGTCACTCCTACATGTTAACAAACTAATCAAAAAAATGTGAAAATAACAACTTAAAGAGATGATACATTGGCTTTAGCATGGGCACCCAGGTTGATAAATGCTCAACTACAAAAATATGTGACTATAACAATATTTCACCACTTCTGTAACATTTGATATAGGTCACTCCTTGATGTTAACATATGAATCAAAGAAATTTCAAAATAACGACTTAAATAGATTACAGTGGTTTTAACATGAATACCGATAATCCTATTATATACGAATCAATGCATTACAATAGCGCAATCCAATAGTATATTTTATAACCAGTCACTTTTATGTACATTTCACATTTCAATGAGTAACCGTTATAGGCCTTAAGGGTTAATATGACCCACCCTTTCTGTTATACAGAAAATAAAACCTGATGAATCATGGGTTTCAAAATTAATAACCAAACCACAAAATAATGTACTAAGACAAAAATTGGATAGCTTCAAGTCTGCAACCCCCCCCTCCCCCTACCCATGATCACGTAAAACCTAATTCCACGATGACAACATAATTTGGGATTTCAATTATCTTTCATTATTTGACAATTGCATTTGGGTCACTTCCATTTTCCGGATACACTCATAATAGGTAGGTAAAATATGGAATGTTATGCAAGTACAAGTAATTAGCTGTAATTTCTTTAAAATGCCAACAGAACAATACACCCAAGGTTTGCATGTGTATTTCTATTCCAAATGTCTACATGCATGTATAGAGCCAGGAAAACCAGAAAAGTTTAACTTGGATATATTTAAAGTCTAGTATGTTTAAACTGAACTTAACTAGACTTAAGTTAACACAGAACTCCTACATAATTTCTTTCAACATTTAATGTATATATTAAGTCTGGTTGACATTTAACTGAACTATATGGGAAGTTGATGTCTACATTGAAGTATATTACATCTATGACGCACCCTATTATACGACAATGTGCTTTAATAAACCCACACTAATAAATGCACCCATATACAAAGACCCTAATACGTACCCTGATACACCCACTTTTCACCCTAATTAATGCACCCTAATTAATGCACACCCCTTATATATATACCCTAATTCATGCACCCTAATATACATTCAGTAAAACACACCCTAATGTACCATCAGTATTACCCCTCAATATATACCCAAATTAATACTCCCTAATTCACACTCCCTAATTCTTGCATCTGCACCCGAATACACCCCCTCTCGATTCACTTAAAAAATATAATTACACATCTTTTTGATTTTAACCCAACCCCTTCTTTCCGTACCATATGCCATCTCTGATAGCATCTTAATTTCATAAAACTAGTACATGTACAACATTGAAAGCCCCAGTGAATTAACAAGTTACAAAATTAGTAAAAAACATTGAAATTGCATGCATGTTTGTATGTAGTGCAGTACATGTAGTACCTAATGTTGTATAAAGTAAAGGGTGTGGAACCAAATATGAACATTGAATAAAAAGCTCAATGAACTTATGAATAGACTTAATAAACAGTAGGGCAAAATGTTGCTTTTAAATCATTAATACAGAGCACTGAATGAATTTAATTTTATTTAGTATTTCATTCAGTTTATTGTACACCCCCTCAATAAATTTGGAAACCAGATGTATCCTTTGCGATCACTAATCAAAGCCCAATTATGTTTGATCAAACGAACAAACAAACATATTCATTAAATTATCACCCCCTCCCCTCCAACTTTCTTTTTGGGATACTTGGGGCTGAGGCCACAAAACTGTGAACATAAGCAAACTTGAACACTCTTGGCTTGTTTCAGTGGCATTCACATTGGAAGACATATTTCAGATTATTTTTTTGATATTAATTTTAATACCAATTTGTAGAACCAGTCACAAAACACCTTTCTTGTCATGCTATTACGTATCATGATATAACAGCACCAGGCCTGAAGCCAGGATATGCCAAGGGGGTTCAGTTTTCAAAAATGTCCAGGGGGAAATATGACCCATTTGGCCCAATTTTGGCCCAAATATGGTAACAATCACTTGAGAAGTGCTCAAAATGGTGAAAAACTGCATGATTTTGAAAGAATTTTTGGCCAGGGGGGGGGAGTTCGCCCGAACCCTGCAAAGCCCCTGGCTACGGGCCTGAGCACCTAGTCACAGATTACAATTTGTACCATATACAGTAAAACCAGTCAATCCAAACACTACTGGAACCATCAAAAAGTGTTCGAATTAGCAGGTGATCACAATACAAGGTTTTTAATATGGGAGCCAATGGAAGATTATGACAAAGAATATCAAGTATTCACAAAGAGGTGTTCAGATAAGACAGGTGTTCAGATATACAGGAGTTCAGATAAGACAGGTGTTCAGATATACAGGAGTTCAGATAAGACAGTTGTTCAGATATACAGAAGTTCAAATAAGACAGGTGTTCAGATATACAGGAGTTGAGATAAGACAGGTGTTCAGATAAGACAGGTGTTCAGATATACAGGCGTTCAGATAAGAAAGGTATTCAGATATACAGGAGTTCAGATAAGACAGGTGTTCAGATATACAGGAGTTCAAATAAGACAGGTGTTCAGATAAGACAGGTATTCAGATATACAGGAGTTCAGATAAGACAGGTGTTCAGATATACAGTAGTTCAAATAAGACAGGTGTTCAGATAAGACAGGTGTTCAGATATACAGGAGTTCAGATAAGACAGGTGTTCAGACATACAGGAGTTCAAATAAGACAGGTGTTCAGGTAAACAGGAGTTCAGATAAGACAGGTGTTCAGACATACAGGAGTTCAAATAAGACAGGTGTTCAGGTATACAGGAGTTCAGATAAGACAGGTGTTCAGACATACAGGAGTTCAAATAAGACAGGTGTTCAGATATACAGGAGTTCAGATAAGACAGGTGTTCAGACATACAGGAGTTCAAATAAGACAGGTGTTCAGGTATACAGGAGTTCAGATAAGACAGGTGTTCAGACATACAGGAGTTTGAATAAGACAGGTGTTCAGGTATACAGGAGTTCAGATAAGACAGGTGTTCAGATATACAGGAGTTCAAATAAGACAGGTGTTCAGATATACAAGAGTTCAGATAAGACAGGTATTCAGATATACAGGAATTCAGATAAGACAGGTGTTCAGATATACAGGAGTTCAGATATACAGGAGTTCAGATAAGACAGGTGTTCAGATAAGACAGGTGTTCAGATATACAGCTTTCACTGTACCTACTAATGGGCCTTCAAATATAGATCAGTGAGTAATCCGCCTTTCTTATACCTGTCCATGCAGAAAGACCATTGAAATAGCACAATCGTTATTCATTTATTATTCATTAACAAATAATTCTTGCAATGTTCTTGGAGAAGTCGGAAGCATGAAGCAGGTTAGTGTTTTGCTTATATTACACTACTGTACTGTACTGTGGTATATGTACATATATGGCGAATTATACATGTTTACACATCTGTGTTCACTTGATCAATTTTGGCTGACTTTTTCCAATGATTTAATTTGTTAATCTCATGATCGGGCATAGCTTATTGATTAAATAACATCGCTGTTTTTCACTTGATTAATTGTGGCAGACTCTATTAATTTAGTTATTTGACTCAATACTCCCATAATATAGGATTTATTTTTGAAAAGTTTATGTTTTCTGTCATAAAAATATGTTTGGTTATAACTTATACTATGATTTGGCTCATGTCCTAAGTTGTAATTTTCTTCGTGCCATTTGATAATTTTTTGATTAAAATAATGTACAATTTGGCAACATTGCAGCAACAAATATATATGACATTTCTTCTCAATTTGTATTTTCTTTCATCTTCCAATATTTCAGCTATAAAGCCTCCTTTGACATTTTATAAACGTATATTACTAAAACATGGGGAATATCTTAATGGTTTAGATGACCTTAAGACATACTGTTTGTGCATTTTATTCTGAAACCTGTCATTTTCTCACGATGAACAGTACAATGCAGTTTTTTATATAGACTGCATTGCCTGAAAGACTGAACAGAACTGGTTTGCACTCATTGCATGCTTTAATTAATTTAACATTTAAGTACATTTATTAGTATACAAGGATAGGACTATAAGGAAATAATACTACATGTAGAGAGACTATATGAAATATTATATTTACTATATTGAATGAATAGCAGGATTTTTATTTCTAGCTGGTGAGTTAAAGGCACATATTAATACACATATAAGTAAACCAGGCCATAATATATTAAATAGAAAACGCAGTATGGTATTTTTGTAAAGATTTAAAATTTCATAATTTCAGGGCTTGGTCATGCAATAATGTGTTGTTTATGAAATTACAGTTTTTTCATTTGAGCTACCTATGTAAAACCTACTCTATTCAGTTTGACTATTTTTTCAAATAGTCATTAGTTTATAGTAAGGTTGTTTCAATGACTATAAATTAGGTGGGTGCTAAAGGGGTTGGTTCCTTTATTAAATAACTAATATCAAAAATTAGTGGTTTTATTTTTTATTCAATTATAAAGCTTTATATTTATGCCCTGTTGCATATCCATTGCAATCTCACAGTCCTACATGCTGTTTCATTTATTTGCAAATTAACGGGTAAATCCACAATTTTAAATACTATTTCATTTATTTTCAGATAAACAACCTTCAGGATGAGTGTGGAGAAGTTTGAGATTAGCCTAGAGCATGACATCGATGAGCAATACCAGTACCAACCGGGTGAGACATTACGGGGCGCTATCACCATACGCCTCGCTGGAACAATTCGTGTCAAAATCATTCAGATTCAGATCAAGGGAGAAGCCAGTGTCAGTTGGGATATGGAAAATGTGGAGCAGTCTGGGATGGAACAATTCCGCTCCGAGCAAACATATGTCGATGTTTCGCAACCGTTAATTACAACAATAGATGGCGAGAGTATGGTTCTGGATGAGGGTAATCACGCATTTCCATTTGAGTATGAACTTCCAGCAAATATTCCATCTTCCTTTATAGGCAAATATGGTAGTATCACATACGTTGTCAGGGCAACCTTGAAAGAAGCCCAACAAATAGGGCTCGGGACTCTCATCACGAGTGAACCATTCCTCGTATTGAGGACATTAGACTTAGCAAGGGACACAAGACTCCTTAAACCGATTTCTGAGAAGATAGAAAAGAGATTTTGGGGATTTTGTATATCTGGCAAGGTATCTGTATTCATCAGAGTAAATCGAAGAGGACACGTCCCCGGTGAAGATATTTTCATTGATGCTGATATCACGAACAGTAGCCCAAGGATTGTTAGGGCCCTCCAAGCCTCACTTGTAATGCGGAGTGAATTTCACGCCAAACGTAGAATGCGCGAATTTCAACAGGTCGTTAACAGAAAACGAGATGAGTGGGAAATGACCTCTGGTGAAGGTCGACGATGGCGGAATGTTCGTCTCACAATCCCGCCATATATCCCAGAATCCCTTCTGTCAGGGTGTGACATTATGGAGATTACTTATGAATTAGTGTTCGTTGTCGAAATATCCGGCGACAAGACTCTAAATCTTGTAGTCCCTATTACTATTGGAACCGAAGGCAGTTTATTACGACGTGGAACTTATAGGGATGAAGAGAACAATATAAAGGAGCATACGGAGGAAATTCCAGGTCAAGAAAGACACACCAAGGCTAACCCTCCAACAGCTCGTGTGTGGAGAAACACGACAGGTCCAAATAAACCACCTAATATGAGCACGGTAGAGAGCAGTAACGATGTCAGACAGCAAGAAAGAGTCAACATAAGCTCAACTCGGAAAAAGGGTGAGCCTCGTGTTGAAATTGGAGGAATGGATGAAAATGAGCGGACATTTAGTGCTGAATTTGGACCAATTGAACTTGGACAATTTGAATATGGACAGAATGAGGATCCAGATCTTGAATTTCCAGTTATGGAAGATGTGACGACGGTAAATCCTCTGATGACAGGTGACTATGAAGAAAGTACCCAAACCCATGAGATTACACATTTATAGTGACACCTATTGGAGAAAATGTTCCAGATCTTTCAATTACACATTTATAGTGACATCTATTGGAGAAAATGCACCAGATCTTTCAATTACATATTTATAGTGACATATATTGGAGAAAATGTTCCAGATCTTTCAATTACATATTTATAGTGACATATATTGGAGAAAATTTACTAGATCTTTCAATTACACATTTATAGTGACATCTTTAATGTGTTAACGTGCCAGACCTTTCAATTAAACATTTATAGTGACATCTATTGGAATAAGTGTACCTACTCTTTCAATTACTGATTTAAAGTGACTTTAAAGTAAACATGCCAGATCTTTCAATTAAACATTTATTGTGACATCTATTGGAGAAAATGCTCCATATCTTTCAATTAAACATTTATAATGACATCGTTTGGTGTTAATGTGCCAGATCTTTCAATTACACATTTATAGTGACATCTATTGGAGAAAATGCTCCATATCTTTCAATCAAACATTTATAATGACATCGTTTGGTGTAAATGTGCCAGATCTTTCAATTACACATTTATAGTGACATCTATTGGAATAAGTGTACCTACTCTTTCAATTACTGATTTAAAGTGACTTTAAAGTAAACATGCCAGATCTTTCAATTAAACATTTATTGTGACATCTATTGGAGAAAATGCTCCATATCTTTCAATTAAACATTTATAATGACATCGTTTGGTGTTAATGTGCCAGATCTTTCAATTACACATTTATAGTGACATCTATTGGAGAAAATGCTCCATATCTTTCAATCAAACATTTATAATGACATCGTTTGGTGTAAATGTGCCAGATCTTTCAATTACACATTTATAGTGACATCTATTGGAATAAGTGTACCTACTCTTTCAATTACTGATTTAAAGTGACTTTAAAGTAAACATGCCAGATCTTTCAATTAAACATTTATTGTGACATCTATTGGAGAAAATGCTCCATATCTTTCAATTAAACATTTATAATGACATCGTTTGGTGTTAATGTGCCAGATCTTTCAATTACACATTTATGGTGACATCTATTGGAGAAAATGCTCCATATCTTTCAATTAAACATTTATAATGACATCGTTTGGTGTAAATGTGCCAGATCTTTCAATTACACATTTATAGTGACATCTATTGGAATAAGTGTACCTACTCTTTCAATCACTGATTTAAAGTGACTTTAAAGTAAACATGCCAGATCTTTCAATTAAACATTTATGGTGACATCTATTGGAGAAAATGCTCCATATCTTTCAATTAAACATTTATAATGACATCGTTTGGTGTAAATGTGCCAGATCTTTCAATTACACATTTATAGTGACATCTATTGGAATAAGTGTACCTACTCTTTCAATTACTGATTTAAAGTGACTTTAAAGTAAACATGCCAGATCTTTCAATTAAACATTTATTGTGACATCTATTGGAGAAAATGTTCCATATCTTTCAATTAAACATTTATAATGACATCATTTGGTGTTAATGTGCCAGATCTTTCAATTACACATTTATAGTGACATCTATTGGAGAAAATGCTCCATATCTTTCAATTAAACATTTATAATGACATCGTTTGGTGTAGATATCATTGACATTTTGTATACTAATCAATTTGGATTTAGGGAAAAGAGATCAACTTTCATGGGTGTATTAACATTTATTGAAAAGATCAGAAAATCTATCGATGATGGCGAATTTACAATAGGATTATTCATTGACTTTTCCAAAGCTTTCGATACAATAGATCATAACATACTATTTGACAAACTTCAATATTATGGTATACGTGGTGTTGCTCTTGACTGGATAAAAAGTTATTTTAAAAATAGATTTCAGCAAACTTTATATAAGGAAACAATCTCTAATCGTGAGTTGATCACTTGCGGTATTCCTCAAGGCTCAATTTTGGGACCCCTGTTTTTTATATTATATATTAATGATATTTATCTTTCTTCTCCGACACTATTTTTCGTCTTATTTGCAGATGATACTAATTTATTGATCAAAGGCAAAAATCTACATGACCTGACAGAAACTTTAAACACTGAACTCAAACATATTGAGGAATGGCTGGTCACAAACAAATTATCACTCAATGCTAATAAAACAAAATATATCATTTTTTCCTCAAGACAAAAAAGATTTAATGCAAATAATATAAAAATCTATCTAAATGACAAACAACTTGAACAAGTTGATCATATTAACTTTCTTGGAATAACAATAGATAACCATTTGAACTGGAAACGGCATATTGCTTCTGTTAATGCAAAAATTTCTAGGACAATTGGTATTTTATATAGAGTTAAACAACTGTTGAATATCAGCGGTTTTATGAGTATCTATTATTCACTTATATATTCCCATCTTATATATGGCAATGTTATTTGGGGTGAAACATGTAGTTCATTAAATTCCCTATATCTTGTGCAAAAGAAATTCACCCGCATTGCAACAAACAGCGATTATAGGGCTCATTCCCTACCATTATTCAAACAGTTAAACCTTTTGAATATTTTTGACATACACAAACAACAGAAATGTTTATTCATGTATAAATGGATAAATAAGCTTGATAACTACCAGAAAATTTTTCCTAACTTTTTCAAAATGGTCCAGGCGAGACATGATCACAATACCAGAAACAAGGATTCTTATGATAAACCTAAAGTAAGGACGAACTATGGCATTTCAATGTTAACTTTCACGGCACCAACAATTTGGAATCAATTACCAAACAAGATTAAATCTTCTCGAAGTGTTCACATCATGAAAAGAGAACTGAAAAAGTACTTTGTCAATAATTGATTATCATTCGTATACTTTATATTTTGGGCTCTATGACACACAATTCATTTACCATCCATTACAAGCATTTGCACGCAAACAGATCCCCCTCTGTTTCTATGTAGGCAACTTACCACCCTGTCGGGAATATACACAATTTGTGTCACCCGCTCATTGTATGTATTTCAAAACTTAGCTTACTGAATAAATAAATAATAATAATAATAATAATAATAAATGTGCCAGATCTTTCAATTACACATTTATAGTGACATCTATTGGAATAAGTGTACCTACTCTTTCAATTACTGATTTAAAGTGACTTTAAAGTAAACATGCCAGATCTTTCAATTAAACATTTATTGTGACATCTATTGGAGTAAATGTGCCAGATCTTTCAATTACACATTTATATTGACATCTATCGAAGAAAATGTACCAGATCTTTTAATCACACATAAATTGACATTCACTTTTGGTGGTGACATAAAAATAAAATAGGCCAAGCCTATTTTGCCAGTGGCTCTAAATAATTGGTGGGTAAATAAAAAACTGAACCACATAGATAAAAAGTTATTTTTGTTCTTCTGAAGACAACTGCAGTGATTTTCCATCATTATCTTATGACTCAATTTTGTAATTTTTACCTTTACTGTCTTTACATGTACATGGTTACCCAAAACTGTGCAGTAAAAAGGTCAATTATAAAGTATCACCTAGTATCTTATATCACTAATCCAAGTTTTCTATTTCCAGTGTAAGTGATCAGAATGAGATAACGTTAGTAGATCTGCAAATGTACAGGGTGTCTCAAAATAGGTGGATCACACTTTTAAAAATCTACAGAAATTTAAAATTTGATGAATCTCCATATGGAATTACTAGTATTGCCATTTTAACTTTCAAAATGGGAGAAGTGATAAAGCAACTTGTAAAAATCTGTTTCTTTTTATTATGTTTTCTAATTTTATTTTACTCTGTACCATATAATTTGCATGTGTGCAAATATGTTATGTTATCCTATAGACTTTATATTGTACATCTCATGATAATAAATATTGTTTTTTATTTTACAATAAAATCAGAGTATTGTGTAATATTCTGTGAGCCATCTGCTGGAAACTTAACTTATTTATATTTTTAAACACATTGATTTTACGATTGAAGATTGACTTTTACAATTCTCTTCTAATTTATTGTAACTTTCTTACAAACTTTGAGAAAATGAATCAATGTTTACCATTTTTGTTACTTTATAATTATGCTCATAATCCAGCCACCACAGGGGAAGTCAGGTTCTTAGATAGGTGAGGCAAATCAAGATGAGGGAGCAAAAAAATATTACCACTTATTATAAATCAAGATCAACAGGGCTATATTAAAGGAAGATTTATTGGATATAATATAAGGCTAATAAATGACGTAATCAATTATGCTAATAAATATAGAAAAACATTAGATTCTGCTATTATTTTTGCAGATTTTTCAAAATGTTTTGATTGTTTGGAAATTGACTTCACTCTAGAAGCATTAAAGAAATTTAATTTTGGCAATAGTTTTATCCAGTGGATTAAAACTTTGTATAATGGAATACAAAGCTGTGTAGCTAATAATGGTCACTTATCACCATATTTTGATGTATCTCGGGGCATTCGGCAGGGATGTCCCATTTCTGCTTTGATTTATCTCATTGCAGCAGAAACAATGGCAATCAATATTAGAAATAATTCTAGAATCAATGGTATTAAAGTAAAAAACAAAGAAGTCAAAATATGTCAACTTGCAGATGACACCACTCTCTTTGTTCATGGAAAAAACTCTATTAATATAGCTATTAAAGAAATACAGCGTTTTGGAACTGTTTCTGGTTTAGAGCTTAACTTAGAAAAAACAGAAGGTATAAAACTTGGTAACTTTAAAAATGATAATAATACTACATTTTGTAATATTTCCTGGAAACAGGAAGTAAAATCATTAGGTGTCTACTTTGGAATAGATCAAACTAAATTGCATGATCTTAATTGGAATAGTATAGCAGATAAAATGAGAAAGTCATTGTCTTTGTGGAAAAAACGCAAGATTACTCTTTATGGGAAAATAGTTATCATTAAAACACTTGCATTATCTAAACTGATGTATTTAGCAAAAAGCATTGACACACCAAATGAAACTTTTTTGAAAGAAATTACTTCAGAACTTTATTCATTTCTGTGGGATAGAAAAAGAGATAAAATTAAAAGATCTGTCTTAATTAATACTCTGTCTAAAGGTGGACTCTCAATGCCTGACTTAAAATCTAAATTCAGGGCCTTTAAAATTAAATGGATATTAGACATTGAGTATGGGAATAAACACGCAAGTTGGAATATTCTAGCAAGAGAGATATTAAGTAAAACTGGACTCCCAGATACTTTGATATTTAAATCTACTTATGGAAAACCAGAGAATATTTGTAATTTTAATATCTTGCCTCAATTTTACAAAGATTTACTCCATGCTTGGAGTATTCTTGGAGGCTCAGAATCCAAAATTGATAACATAACATTTGCAGAAATTAGACAAATGGTGATATGGCACAATAAAGACATAACTTTCAATAACAAATGTTTGTATTTTGAAAACTGGATAAATTCAAATATATTATATGTTAATGATCTTATGTGTACCCAAGATGAAATTCTTCATAAGCTTAAATCTAGGGTCAATTGGATGGCAGAATATATAACTGTTAAGCAATCTTTGCCATTTCAATATAGAGTTAAAATATTTAGTGAGGCAAGCAGATGTACATATGTTAATACAAATGTAAGATTAAGATTTTATGACAGTAAATTGAAGCATTATAGATTTTTGGATAAACATGCAAGTTCTAGAGACATATATTCAATCTTGTTGGAACATATAGCAACTAAAACATATTTGGAATCATTTTGGATTAATCTTTGTGAAATTCAAAATAGTCAAATGCTGTTTCAACAGACTTGGATACTTTTAAAGCAATCCAAAAATAAAAAAGTGGCCAATTTTAAATACAAACTTTTACATTATATTTTACCATGCAAACAATTACTTCTAAGATGGAAAATAAGTGTTAATGACAAGTGTGATATTTGTGGACAAGTAGAAGACTATAAACATTTGTTCTTTCAATGTCATAGAGTACTTAATGTAATAGACCAACTTGAAAATTATATTTTAGATCATTTTAAAATTGAATTAAGTTTGAAAAAGTATAAAACTCTTGTCTTTGGCTATAAGGTACAAGACACTAACTATACTTATTTTAATGAATGGTTAAACAACTTATGGTACGTTATATTTGTAAACTATTGTAATAATGTTCAAGAATTGAAATTGCATCATTTTTCACAAATATTGTAATATTGTAAAATTAACTGATGTACTTGTATACAAAGTTATAAAATGAGAAATATATACATGATTTAAGAAAAAAAAAATAAAAAAAAAAAAAGATGAGGGAGCAAAATGAGATAGGTGAGGTGAGGCAAAGGAGTGGTATCGATATGGAGAGTGAGGCAAATTTAGGTTAAAAGAATCAGGAACAATATACAGACTTATATATTAGCAGCCTTTCAATATTAATATAACACATTTGAAATAAGTTTGGCAACTAGAAGTTATTTTTGATACTTTTTGATCAAAGCCTGTCAGTGTGTAAATCTTCAGTTTGTTCCTTTACAAAAGTTCAGAAACTGATAACAAATTTGAGAAGTGACCCAAAAAAGGAGCTTAAAGGGGCAACAAGGACTGTACAGAAAAAATTCGAAATTTTTTACTCTTCTGAGCTATTAGGGCAACATTTGGCTTAACAACTTCTTTGGCATACCTATTTTCTTAAAATGTATGGATAAACTATCAATTTCAGAATTAAGAAGTGAAAATTTAGTTCAAAGCTTCTATAAAGGGAGTCACACTTATAGATTTTTAAGATTCATCAGGTTTCAAGAGGAAAATCAGCTGAAATAATGTTAATCCAGGGGGTTTCTTTGAAGATAACAAAAATATATGTTGGTCTTGAATGAAATATCAAACTTAAATATATTTCAACACTGGCCCATAATCGTTGAATGGCTCCTCTGCACAAATTGGTGCACCTTTAAAACCAAACCTATGTACTTACTGATGTAGAAGAAGCTGCACTACTAGCTCTAGAGCCAGGTCTTCCCTTGCCTTTCTTACGCCTTGCTTTCAGCACCCTTGGTGAAATGGGAGTCAAATCTTTTTCTTGTTCTAGCTTTAACTCCTCAATCTTAGCGGCTACTGCAGCTTCCTAGAAATAAAATACAAAACTATTAATTAAAAAAATTCTGGTAATAAATTTTAATCCTTGAGTTGAAATTACAGTAAAACTTGTCGACATGGAACACCTTTGGTACCTCTAAAAGTGTTCCAATAGGTGTTTCAATAGGTGTTTCACTTATACAGGTTCATTTAACATTAAGTCAGTTGGTCTTGGGACTGAGGTTTAACTAACAGAGGTGTTCCACTTCTAGAGGTGATCCATTTTACAGGTTCCACTGCAAAGTTGGAGACAATAATGATATGTCAGCACTTCGGGTGGTGACATAAAAAAATAACTGACCTCAAAAACCTAAACTCTTAGATGGAATGCAATTTGTACAAGTACATGAATGAGATTATGCATTTGACAGAAAAATTACCAAAGAATGGAAAATTCCCCTATTATCATGGAAATTTCCATTGAACTTACATCTGGGTGTTGGATGGAATACAATGTACATGTACTTGAATGAGATTGTGCATTTGACATTGTCACATCTACTCCTGCAGTTGACAAACAAAATCAACTTAACTACAGGAAAATTACCAAGAATGGAAAATCCTGCTATTAGCATGGAGAATTACCAATAAATGGAAAATTTTGCAATTAGCAAAGAAAATTACAAATTACCAATCCATGGAAAAGTCCGCTATTAGTATGGAAATTTCCATTGAACTTACATCTGGATGTTGCCTATCCACACTGAAGAACCTACAGACTGCCTTGTCATATAGGGAGACTTCATCATTCACCATTCCTACATAGGAGTCAACTATCTCAAGCTGTTGACTGTGGAAGTCTTCATATCTAAAAAAATAAGATATATATAGTTAAGTCCCTGGAAAAACAATTTGTGAGGAGTTGAGCAGTCCCTGGCAGTCGTAATCTTACATGTTACATACACGTTTTCTTAAAAATGTCTAGCTTTAACTCTATGTTTTTGCTAATTTGAGGCTAATTGAGAGGGGGACAGTAATCCCTTGAGTTCATTATATTTCACATTCTTTATACACATTCTCTTGAAAATACATGTATGTAGCTTAAACGACTTTTTTTCCAATTTGAGACCAGTTGAGAGGAGGAGAGTAATTACTAGCAATCATAATATTAAACATACATGTACATGTTCCCTATAGTACTTCCACTTAGGACAGTAATTACTAGTGATCATAATATTAAACATACATGTGCATGTTCCCTTTAGTACTTCCACTTAGGACAGTAATTACTAGCGATCATAATATTAAACATACATGTGCATGTTCCCTATAGTACTTCCACTTAGGACAGTAATTACTAGCGATCATAATATTAAACATACATGTACATGTTCCCTATAGTACTTCCACTTAGGACAGTAATTACTAGCGATCATAATATTAAACATACATGTGCATGTTCCCTATAGTACTTCCACTTAGGACAGTAATTACTAGCAATCATAATATTAAACATACATGTAAATGTTCCCTATAGTACTTCCACTTAGGACAGTAATTACTAGCGATCATAATATTACACATACATGTGCATGTTCCCTTTAGTACTTCCACTTAGGACAGTAATTACTAGCAATCATAATATTAAACATACATGTACATGTTCCCTATAGTACTTCCACTTAGGACAGTAATTACTAGCGATCATAATATTAAACATACATGTGCATGTTCCCTATAGTACTTCCACTTAGGACAGTAATTACTAGCGATCATAATATTAAACATACATGTACATGTTCCCTATAGTACTTCCACTTAGGACAGTAATTACTAGCGATCATAATATTACACATACATGTGCATGTTCCCTTTAGTACTTCCACTTAGGACAGTAATTACTAGCAATCATAATATTAAACATACATGTACATGTTCCCTATAGTACTTCCACTTAGGACAGTAATTACTAGCGATCATAATATTACACATACATGTGCATGTTCCCTTTAGTACTTCCACTTAGGACAGTAATTACTAGCAATCATAATATTAAACATACATGTACATGTTCCCTATAGTACTTCCACTTAGGACAGTAATTACTAGTGATCATAATATTAAACATACATGTACAATTGTACATGTTCCCTTTAGTACTTCCACTTAGGACAGTAATTACTAGCAATCATAATATTAAACATACATGTACATGTTCCCTATAGTACTTCCACTTACCCTAGTTTGATTTTATTGAGCATGTCTAAAGCTTTGTTGAGACTGTATTGAAGAGTGTCCTGACTTCCATCTTGACGCATTCTGTCCATTATTATGTCCAAGTTGGCTTCCTTATCCTGGATAATAACAAGGTAATGTTATTATATATGAATATTAAGATTATTGACAAAGTTATTGTTTCATCGATAGTATTAATCTTGAGTATGAAGATATCTAAATATTATTGTTTAGGTCAAGTATTTATTGAATACAGTTTGTTTTTTGAGGAAGAAAGAGTGTTTCCTTTTGACAAAGTTTGTAAGATCCACCAGAAATAATATACAGTAAAACCGGAAGAATCCAAACAACACTGAGAACCTGGCAAAAGTATTTGTGTTGGCAAGTGTTCACATTTCATGAATTTTTAAAATTTTGGTCTTTTAAATAATGACTGATCAAAAATGGGACCAAAAAAGAGTTCATATCTAATTGAGAAGTCTCTAACCCTCCTCATACAATTTAGTTATGCAACATACCTGATTATGATTATCGTGCAACCTGCGAGCATTTTCCAGTTTTTCCTGTAGATGGCGCTCTTGCTTTGCGAGCCCAATCTCATGGACATCCCAGACATGTGCTGCCCCCTGGCTATATTTGAAAAGTGACTTTAACTCATTGACGATCTTATTTGTGTGTTCTTCTAGTTGTTGCTGTAATGAAAGTGAATTTTTACAGATATTTATTTTTCATATAATAAATATAGACTTTTCTACAGGGTCCTGTAGTTGGGCTCAGATGCATAATTAGCCACAATTTAATAAATTTGATATGCAAACAAATTAAGATATGCATAAAAGTTTAGGTATCGTGACTAAACCTCTCCTGTAAATATATAAGAGAATTTTCTCTTGTTCAGATTTAAGTCAGTTTATTTCAGGGTTATATTTTACCTATTTATGTGCAATATAATAATCTAAAGCAGTGACACCAGTAATAAATTTTAATTTGTATGTGTACTCACATCCATGGTTTCTAGGCTATCTTCGAATATTTTCTGCTGATTTCCAACGAGCGGTAGACATTTTTCTGTGATGATGTATGTAGCCTTGCCAAATGTACACACCTCTCTGTGTATTAGATCAGTCTAAACGAAAAAAATGAAAAATATTAGTTTATTCATGTATTTAAAATGAAGAGTTTGCTATATTTAATTAGTTTCTGAGTTTTTGTCGATAACCTTGACAATAACTCAAGTAAATACAACATATACAGTATTGTATATAAGTTTGATGTTTTATTCCATAAAAGGCTGAGTTTTGACTCAATATCATTTGCACTCCTTTTTGAATAAAATATATATAAGTTAACTATACCTTGACTTCTTCAAGTTTAGCTAAACATGCCTGGCAGACTTCCTCATAACTCCCATAGAGCTTATTAAGAAAGGTTTGGCCCAGTTGATCAAGTTGTTTACTTATAGCAGTCAGTTGCTGATTCCACTGGTATACTGATGTTTTAGTAGAGCCAGGAGGTCTCATATCCCTGAAAAATCAAAAATCAACAAATGCATGAACACGATACCATATCCCTACATAATTCAACAAGGCATTATAACAAGAAAATGTCATCACATTGTTGCAATTATGAAAGCGCAAGAAGCTGTTAAAAACGCTGAAACCAAAATGCTTGTGAAAAAGGTGGGTTGTTTATCACCTTATTTTACTCAATCATTAAAAATGCTTAATAAATGGTGGCTGTATTAACAACAAGGCATTAATATGACAAAATGTCACCACCATAAGTTATTGAAATTTTACAGATGCTGAAGCCCCCAAAAAGTTGGAGACTACAGCAATATGTCATCACCATGGTGACATTAAAATAATGACAATGACAATGGAGCTATTATGTTAACACACAAAAATTTTCCCAAGCTCATCAATTATGTATATTTAAATTCTAATTTCAAAATTGAGATAAAAATCTGATCCAAGTGCCTTTCTTTAAGAGACAAACCTTACAGAATATAACCATTGTGACCCAAAATTTACCTGAGTGATTTAATGAGGTCCAGCCTCTGTACATTGATCTGCTCCTGCTGCTCCTTCATCTCCTTAAGGATAAGGTTAACTTCCCCAGGACTTGTAACATCTTCACTCTCCATATAGGCTCTAAAGCAAAATTGATATCATATAGACATGGTACGTTTTCTAGGTGTTGTATGATTTTTTTTGGCAATCCCATAACATTGAGAACAACACCCTACAATTGTGAACCATGCCCCTAAAATGTGCACTCATAAACTGTCTCTGTTCTGTTTTGAGATTTTTAATTAACTTCTTGACTACCCAGAGTGACGAGAAATCTCGTCACCTAAGAAATGATCTTGAAACCCAGAGTGACGAGATAATCTGTCACAGAAATGTTAAGGTTTTATTTGTGACTTGACTTCTCAGAATTTTTTTCAACCAGGTGCAATTTTTCAATGTTGGTAAACTTGGCGCTCGCTGTGCCAAAAGTTTGAGGAGATCATAGCGTGATCTCTGATCAATGCATGGTGGCACACATTCAATAACTTACATAAATGGATGAACCCATTCAAAACTTACATAGATGGATGAACCCATTCAAAACTTACATAGATGGATGAACCCATTCAAAACTTACAATGATGGATGAACCCATTCAAAACTTACATAAATGGATGAACCCATTCAAAACTTACATAGATGGATGAACCCATTCAAAACTTACATAAATGGATGAACCCATTCAAAACTTACATGAATTCAGCTACTGCCATATCAATGTGTATATTTTTCCAGTTTGAGATTTTTAATTAACTTCTTGACTACCCAGAGTGACGAGAAATCTCGTCACCTCAGAAATGATCTTGAAACCCAGAGTGACGAGATAATCTGTCACAGAAATTTTAAGGTTTTATTTGTGACTTGAATTACAAATTTCCAGTGATCTTCTCAGAATTTTTTTCAACCAGGTGCAATTTTTCAATGCTGGTAAACTTGGCGCTCGCTGTGCCAAAAGTTTGAGGAGATCATAGCGTGATCTCTGATCAATGCATGGTGGCACACATTCAATAACTTACATAAATGGATGAACCCATTCAAAACTTACATAGATGGATGAACCCATTCAAAACTTACATAAATGGATGAACCCATTCAAAACTTACATAGATGGATGAACCCATTCAAAACTTACATTAATGGATGAACCCATTCAAAACTTACATAGATGGATGAACCCATTCAAAACTTACATTAATGGATGAACCCATTCAAAACTTACATAAATGGATGAACCCATTCAAAACTTACATAAATGGGTTCATTCAAAACTTACATAAATGGATGAACCCATTCAAAACTTACATAGATGGATGAACCCATTCAAAACTTACATAGATGGATGAACCCATTCAAAACTTACATAAATGGATGAACCCATTCAAAACTTACATAGATGGATGAACCCATTCAAAACTTACATAAATGGATGAACCCATTCAAAACTTACATGTATTCAGCTACTGCCATATCAATGTGTATATTTTTCCAGTCTTCCACACGTTTCTTCCATCGCGTATGTTGTACCTTTTCCCTCTCAATATCAGCCATCATTAGTCTGGCGTACAGATCGCTGTAGGCCCTGCGGTTACTCAGCACTGCCTGGTTAATCAACTACAAACAGATATATTTCCTTTTATATATTTTTCAAATTTCTATACCCAGGATTACAGAGGCTAGCATTAAATACAGGATTTTGGGCATTTTTTGGGCCAGAAGTGAAAAAATTGAACCCCCCTTAAATTTTTGGAAAAGTGAACCATTTTGTACAGTCCAGGCTATATAGTTCAGTACCTGTGTATATCATAAATGATAACAAATCATAGAAAATAAGCCTTGAATCATTCTAATAAAGTATATTTGTTTATGCATACCTGTGAATCTTTAGCAAGTAGTTTATGAAGGTGAGGGGGCATCAGATGAGCAATCTTCTCTAGAGTATGATTCATTCTAATAAAGTTTATATTGAATATGCATACCTGTGAATCTTTATCAAGTAGTTTATGAAGGTGAGGGGGCATTAGATGAGCAATCTTCTCTAGAGTATGATTCATTCTAATAAAGTTTATATTGAATATGCATACCTGTGAATCTTTATCAAGTAGTTTATGAAGGTGAGGGACCATTAGATGAGCAATCTTCTCTAAAGTATCTGCATATGACTGGAACACCTCTTTCACCTATAAAAGTATAGAAACTTACAAATATAGCAGCTTTCTCCCTAGGATTTTTTGTCAAGGCGGTGCAAAATTCTCATTTTCACAATTCAGACCAAAATTGGTCATAAAATGCCCATTTTTCATGGTTTTTCTCATTTTCAAGTGGGTGCAAATAGATTTTCAGGTGGGTACAAGCCTTTTTTAAAAATCTCAGGTTGGTGCTACACCCACTTGCTTTAATGCTGGGGAGATCACTGCATAGATTATAGAGGATATCCTATGATTTATGAGTGATATGATTTTTATCCACGAATGGATATGATATCTGCACGAGCGAGCGTAGTGAGAGAGTGCAGATATCAATATCCATGAGTGGATTAATGAGTGCTGCTTTTAACAACCCCTATTCGGGGTCATAGCCACAATAACCTGTAAATATGTTACATTGATTTTAATAAAAAAAGGATTCTATCAAGATTCTATCAGAGACATAATATAAAAGGCTGGCTTTGAATGTAGGGTATAAGTACCAAGAATATAAGGTATTTGACACTAGGGCATAACATTTAAGACCCTAGAAAGTAAGGTACAAGACCTTGGAACATAAGAAAAATGTTACTAGAACCTCGTACTAAAGTATGAGACCCAGGAACATAAGGTGAAAGGCTTTGTAACACAAGGTATGATGTTTCTGGCAACTGATGTATTTGCAAGGTATAAGAATTCAGTGCAAGATCAGACTCAATAATCTAAGATCAGACTCAATAATCTAAGATCAGACTCAATAATCTACCCCCAGACCTACAATCCTACATTGGTTCCTACTATAACCAGCTGATTCTGGAGCTCGGCAGAGTTTGAACAACAAGTCATACAATTCTTTGGATAAAAATTGCATTATTTATAAGATTTCTATGAAGTCTTCGCAGTTTAATTCGTCAACCATTTTTCAAAAAATGTGAATTAAACTGAAATAAGAATCAAAGGAGTTTACCAGGTCCATTCTATCTTCCTCTATCTGCTGTAGCTGTTCATCCATGTGTTCTATCCAACTCTGTCTAATTGAAGACTCTTTTTGCACACACTCCCATAGTTCTTCCAACTCAGACATATTGTACCACACGATATCCTGGAAAAAAGAACAACCATAAACATAGAGCTAGGAGGCAGGAGAGGCTTTTGCCTCACCAAAATAGCATAGCTAGCCTTGAGGCAGACGAGGCTTTTGCCTCACCAATGCTTTACTGAAGTTATATTTTTTGAGAAAATTAGGTCCCATAGAAGTATACTATCTGGCCTTTTGGTTAATGTTTTGCAATCAGAAACAGTGCCATGTAGTACTGTTTCAAACAAATAGTACCGAACAGCCATAATACCAGGATTTCAAAGTGTGAATTGGAGGTGTATATTCATGAAATACTCATCATTCAAAACATCGACACTTAGCTTAGGCATGATATATTAAATTCCAGCCAATCAGAAGACAGTATTTCAAAAAACTCACATTCTTGAAATAACATTAAATGTGATAATTATTGCTAACCTCATCGGCATCTATTTTTGAGAGAAAGCCCTCAAGGAGCTTGTCATTCTGTGTGATGTGCCCTATCAGTTCATCCCCTGCTTCAGCAATACGAGGCTCCAATTCCTAAAGAAAGACAAAAACAGTGTATTATACCAATATTATAAAATATGTAAAACACATTAACATTGTGGACATTTTGAATTCATGTACATTTGCATGAGTATAAAGTCACGAATTCAGGATGCCTCCAATTTCAACATATTTAATTAATTATTCCGATTGTTTACACAACAAGGTATTGATTGCTAATTATATTTAATGCAGAGAAAGAAATACAGGAGCTGTGAAGTATGTAAACCTGAATGATTATCGCCAATATTTTTCTATTTTTTTTATATGCACGCTTATTGGAGTCTCTTTGTACCCTTTTAAATATCACTTTGCATTAGAGAGAATATGGTATCTACAAAAAAACTTACTGAGCTTATTATGTTCAGTTCCTGGTGCATATCTTCCACTGCGGCCTCATGTCTGTAATCAGAATTATTAATGTATAAAAACTAGAAAAATAAAAAGTTCTTAAATTTGGTACTCATAGATATATTTATCTTTACTTCAATTTCTTAAAAAAGCGTTTAAAACAATGAGTACTCATATATTACCTTTGTATCACTGACTAATTCACAATTCATGACTAAAAAATAATCTTTAGTATCTAATTTCAATCAACTGTTCAACTGTAAAATAATCATAAAACAAGGCATTGACCATGCAAAATGTCACCACTTCAAGCTGCCATTAGTTACAGACATGCTGACAAAAATTTGGAGACTGTATAACAATATGTCACCACTTCAGTAGTGACATCATAACAATAAATGGACCCAGCTACATGATTGTACCTTTCTTTTCTGCTTTCTGCAATTCTCTCTATGATATCAGACCCAGTCTTAGCTGGAGCTGTAAAAAAGGATTTCATATATAGGTAAATTATGCATTAGGTTAATAACATGCACGAGCTAAGTAATTTTACTTTTTTTCAAAACGTAATAATACCAGTTATAATCTTGTATCATACACTTTTTAAAATAGGAAAAATGAAGTCATTAGTGATAACTAGTCTTAAAAACTCATTAACAAGGGAGACATATAAAGGAATGAACCGTCCAGTTGGCTGACATGGTGAAAAGGTTTTTGGAAAATGAAGCAAAAATAGGAGCAATGGTGTAAATTACAAGCATAAACCTCAGGATTGGTTTGGATAATGGCAAAACCATCTATAAATGCTTTTGGGCGATTGAAGGGATATACATTATGGAACTTTATAATGAAATAAAAAATGTTGAAGAAATAAAAAAATGGGAAATATTTTCCATACCAACTACATCAGGGAGACCACGGACCTCCCTACTTGCGACATTTCTAGTTGGCTGCTTCATTTCATGCGCAACCATTTGTTGTAGTTGCTTGTGAACCACAGGGTTCTCTGGGTTCGATTCATTTGGGAAACTTTCAGCCCATGTTTGTTGACGACTGGTTAGAAGGCCTGCTCCTGTTTCTGACCTCCCAGTATTCACGAGGGGAGTTTTTGATGGAATTACATTGCTCTTGCTTCTCCGTACATCTTTCGATTCTTCTAATGTTTTAACAAGTTGAACCTACAATATGAAAGAAAGACACGTATTTGTACTTTTAATAGATAGACCATATTTTTCAGTCAGATTATAAGGGAACAATACATACAATGATAGGACCACTCTCCCTCACATTTACTAATTTATTCTAAAATGTATCACATCTTGAATTGTATGAGATAGAGTAAATTATGTGTGCATGTTCTTTCATATTGAATAGAGTCTATGTGATCATGAGTACATTTAGATTTTAAGAGTCGTTTTACAGTATTCTCAGAAATTTCTTCCATGTATGTACATGTACTGTACTTTTAGCAGATAAATGGGTACATTGAATATAAACTTTAAAACATTACCTGAGCATCAAATATTTGTCTGTAGACCTTTCCGCTGGGAACAAGTCGAACAGGATTATTCAATTCTGTATTTGACATCTTGTTAGGAACGTTTTAGGTGTCAGCTTATACAGTAATTCGTGAAATCATCTAAACGTACAGATCACTTTGATGCATGCACCTGTTTGTCATTTCGTCCAATAGAGTGCTGTTTGTATGAACAAGATACAGTAGCATTATATTTGAACTGTCTTCGTTATATTTTAGTACTAGACAATACTACTATTCACTAAATCAGAATTACAGTATGAACTGAGATTGGTTTGTTTGACCTGAGACTGAGAACATATTTTCAATTTCGTTTTTTCAGAAAAAAATAATTTTACATCATCGGTTAGAAAACTATAGTTTATTTCATTTAGACGAATAGTAAAATAAGAAACAACATATACCGTATGCAAGGCTTCCTTACACTACATCCTCGATATATATTGGAAGGGTGAAATTCATAAAATAAACAATTTTTATCGAAATTTAAAAATTTTTGCTACCACAGCAACAACTCTCGTTTTCTTGACGAGATCTCGAAGTACATCTTACACGCGAACTTGTTAGGTTGTTTTAGTCTGCGCTTTATCATTCTATCTCATTTAGAATATGCAATATACTTGAAATTCTTGATTCGATATCATTGAATAATCAATGAATACTCAATGCTTTTATTTTTCATTAATCGATTGGAAATTCTTAGTCTGGAAAATATGCGCCAGGAAATCAGTGTCAATCTTATAGCATTTCGTTTAGAGCAATTGTGGCTCTAATGATCTGTAATTAATTTCCCTGGGATTCCATAAATGCTAGCCGCTCCTGTGGAATAAAACAACATTTAAATTGTGTATGCAGGCCCGTAGCCAGGATTTGCCAAGGGGGGGTTCATTTTTCAAAAATTTCCAGGGGGGGTTCACATTTGACAATTTTGGCCCAAATATGGCTAAAATCACTTGAGAAGTGCTCAAAATGGTGAAAAACTGCATGATTTTGAAAGAATTTTTGGCCAGGGGGGGGGGGGGGTTCGTCCGAACCCTGGCTACGGGCCTGGCATATGTAAGACCAATGCATTTCCAGGAAAAGCACTTAATAGGGATGATAAAATAACATGTTTTCCTGAATTGTTTTCCTGATTTTCAATCCCTTCCTCCCCTGTTTTCCTCAATTTTTGTATGAATAAAAATTTCTTAATCAAAGGTCGAAGGGTATATTGCTCTAGCACACTTAAGTTTTACATGCTATGTGCAGTCACTAACGCTAGCTCGAGGTCGCGTTAACTATTTTCAGTTTCTTTTTGTAAAGCTGAATGGCATGTAGTACATGATATTTTGATCTGTTTGGAAAATATAAAGCATCAGGATTGTGATAAAACTAGAATTGTTCTTCAGTTTAAGTTATATAGAGGTATGTAAATCTCTCACAGAAAGTTGTATCAAGTCCTGTTTGATCCTTACATGGGGTGTACTGAGTGTGAGGACGCCCAAAAAACTATAGAGGACCAAAAATGACTTGATTCAACTTCCAGTGGTATTTCTCATTTTAGAGTTAAAACACAATAGGTTATTGAATGATTTCACTCTTAAAAGTTATTACTTTATATTATTTCCTTATATTGAGAAATTGTACTACGAATTTTAAGTCAAAAATTACTTAAATAATCTTGAACTACTGAATAATTTTTAAGTAATTCATTTATGGTGAATTTACTAATGCAAGGAGAGAAATTGAAATACTTACTGTAGTAATTGTAATACTCATTTACATATTTAAGCAATTAAAAAACTCAAAATGACAATATAAGTTAAACCCAAGTAAAATGAAGTAAAACTAAGTATTTAACTTGAAGTAATTTTTATACTTGGGAAATACTTGGGAAATACTCAGGTAATTCATTTTTAAGAGTGTTGAAGTGCAACACAGGATCACTCTAAATAAAAATTACTTGACAACTAGTTTAAGTAATTTAATTTATTACTAAGTATTTTACAAAATTACTTAACATGTATTATATTACTAGTGCTTACTAGGTAATTGTTTTTTTGATGTGAATCACTAAATTCAGTAATTATTATACTATCAATGTTAATAAATTACTAATATCTGTATTTTCATTTTATTTGCATGTAATTATATTATTAAGTAATTTCTTCTAGATATAACTTACAACCACTCTAGATATGATTACTTAGTACTTCTGTAAGTAATTCACGTTATTACTTGTTGAATTCAAATGCCAAATATTTTTGCATTTGTAAATTGAACCATTTCAGTAATCATAGTTCCACCGAAGTAAATTAATTATTCATACATGTTATTCACTTATAAAATGTCTTTTTCTCAGTATATTTTACAGATCACAAATCCCCTTCTTGTAATTTAATTACTAAGTATTTCAAATTACTTATAGTAGTTATTGAATTACTAACTGTATTGTATTGTATTGTATTGCCTTTTATTCCTCCTTTTATAGAAGAGTACAATCAACGTGCAAATATAAAACTCACAATATAAAATTACATAAATTCAACAAACATCGAACTATGTGAACCAACAATTATTATTACATGTGAACCAGTAATTAAATTACATGAAAATGTAAAAATAATACAATAACTAGTATATATTTTTTAGAGTGATATATTCTGCTCGAGAAATTCTGTGTTGGAACGAGATAATCTACGTTAGTATGTACGTTATAGAATGATTTAAAGTGCAACTAAAGGATATATTCTGCTCTAGATATTCTGTATCGGCACTCGACTGCGTCCCGTACCAATACGGAATTTAACAAGCAGAGTATATCCTGTATTGCGCTTCAAATCATTCAATAACTTATATTATTATATCACTATTTAGCTAGCGACGACGACGATTTTCGGTGAATACCTGTAGCACTTTCACAAGGTGATATTCCACTTGCCCTTCGGGCTTCGTGGAATATCACTTGTGAAAGATGTACAGGTATTCACCTCAATAGAGTGAAATATTTGTTCAATATTGTACTCTTACCCAAAATAATCAGAATGTGTTTTGTGATTTTTATTCAGACTGTGTTGTCCTCACATCAACAATGTCAAGTAATTGTAGATGTAATTATTTATGTTGACCTGAAAACATTGCATCATTTCTATATTGGGTCTCCATACTTAGCAGGAAGTGGATACTTATCGCCAACCATTGTCAAAGAATGCTTGGTTTTTTACAAGATAAATGAATTGCTATATCTTTTATTTGTTCCACATGCTGGTGAGAATTACACTAGATAATCAAGGCAAACAAATCCCAGCAAACATTGTACTGTGGATGTAACGTTAACGTACAAGCGTTAGACAATCCGCCTATCTAAAAAAAAACTATCCTACATACAGTAGTATAGCAGGGTGTCCCGAAAGTATGCCACCCCTAGACAGACATATACCAAGTTCTTCATAGTATGTGTCATATATCATTTTAAAGCTTATCCAAAGTTACATTGATTTGCAAAGTATCATGGTTCAACTCCCAAATATGAAAAAATGACAGGCATTTAAAAATTTTGTGTTTTTCCATTTTACTGCAAATCACTAGTCAATATGTCCTCCCGGGCTATCTTAAAAGTAGCGAATCTTTTCAGGTCAGATGGAAGTTGAGTTAGAAAAAGAGAACGGCGAGGGTAAATATTCCAAGGAAACACTTCTGAAGTGCCTTTAGAGGTTTTAGGAGGAGTACAAAATTCCACACCCCTATTTGAAGGGTTTTTAAGGTCATATCTGAAAATAATTGCGGTGGTTCACATGGCCAAGGCAGGGCACATTGACTGGTAATGTGGTGTAAAATTTTAATTTGGTGAAACACTACATTTTAAGATGACTGTAACTTTTCCCATTTGTGATTTGAACCATTATACTTGGCAAATCAATGTTACTTTGGATAAGCTTTAAAGTGATATACACGTATGACACATACTATGACGACATTGGTATATGTCAGCCTAGGGTGGGTGGGGGCATACTTTCGTGACACCCTGTATATTTATTTTTTCAGGAGTTACAGTATTTTAATTTCTAATTTTGTAACTTGATATTCCAGATGGCAGTTCCAGTTGTGAGGAAGACTAAGCTACAAAACGCAACATTGAAGGCCCCGGGGATCTCGTATGACATGTGTCACATGAACGAACGACTAATCATAGTAATACCTGGGAATGGAGTCGCAAGGCTTTATGATGACAACCTTAATCCTGCGGAAGGACGCTACGAAACAGGAGTCAAGTCACCAATGAAATACACGTTTAACGTACCTAATTCACAACTGAATTATGTGGCCCAAATAAGCAATGGAAAAGTCATATTCGCTACTGACAACAAGAAAAAACTTTTGATTGTGAAAAACGTACAGGATGGCGCCAATGCTGACGAGGGTAGAGTGGAGGTCACGCTAAACTTCCTGAAAGATCCCAGAGGTTTAGCTGTGTTTCCAGGTGGAACAATTGATGACTTCAGGCTTGCTATATGTGACTGCGTGGAAAACTGTGTATTTGTAATACGTTTTGTAAATGGTATCTATGATGGTGGGGTTCCTATGGTCATTGGAAAGGGAGAGCTCGCTTCACCTAATTATGTTGCAGTTCAACAACTTGGAAATGAAGTAAGGCTGGTTGTTACCGATTTGATGAGAAAAGCTCTATTTGTTTTCCATGAGCAAGGTGCCATACGTAATACGGTTTATTCCTGTGATGGAGTAGATCTAGACCGACCTCATGGTATTTGTATCGATAGGGGTGGCAGCATAATATTTGCAGATAGTGGTAACAACCGCGTTGTTCAGCTGAATCCAGATTGTACCTTCAACCGTGTTCTGCTCAACAAAGACAACGCACCTGACATGAACGAGCCCTGCGGCATTATGATAAAGCAGGAGACAGGCGAAGTAATGGTAGGTGATGCAAAATGTGATATTTTCACTGTTCAGTACAGAGAAGCAAATGAAAATCTATAAGAACATCAAGAAAGTATTGAGACAATTTGAGAACAAATGCTCGTATACGAGTGGTGATACAAAAGTAATGGACACACTTTTATGTAAGACATATAAATATTATTCACGGATAGCTAGGCATGAAATATATCCTTGCTAATCAGAACACAGTATAGCCACCCAAGATAAGTGCTTAGGTAGGCCAAAATGTTGACCTTGCAAAAAAGGATCCTGTGTTTAGTGGTCAAAATCTTCAGCTCCTTATGTTTGAAAAGAATTAAAGCACATGGCTAAATGAATTGTGGGTAACTTAATGCACTCGTGTAATCTAATATAAACACTCGTGTCTGCTTACAAGGATGTTTAATAGCTACATTTATTCAGACGTGTAATTTTTGGGATGTGAATTACTCTATTAAGTACATGTAATTATCATAATATAAATGTTGAAATATCACTAATGTTTGTAGTTCATTTGTATGTGTATGTAATACATAACTCAGCAATTTCTTCTAGATATGAATTACTCTCACCCTAAAACTAATTTCTAGCAATTCTTTGTAATTATTCCAATCTTTATTTTTGAAAGTATCACTGAGCATGAGATTATCTTTTGTATTTTATCTCACTGTAGAATCTTGACTTTATATCAAACAAAGTTTGCTCAAATAAAATTCCCAGGAACGATGTCGGAAAGCTAACTTACTTTCAAGGATAATGACCCCCTCCCCTCATAACTGTTCAAAAGTTTTGTGAGTGTGGTTTTTACAAATGCGATAAGCATGTTTACAAAATAGTATAGTGCAGATGATCAAATAAGCTCTCATAATATATTCATAATTATAGCAAAGTAGATCTTAGATGATTAGATAATCAGGGTGACTGACAAATTATAACGGAGGCTATATGTATAAGTATTAGATGGAAACATTTAATTTAAAATCGAATGATAGAAGAAAGCATGCTCGAAGAAAAATGATACAGAAACAGTTGGACGGCAGTTGGAGGAAACAGTACGTTTCTGGACTCAATTGTTTCGATCGTGGTTACCATGAGAATCTTTTCGTTTTGAATCAAATATCCGTTCTAAGAAATTAGGTACAATGAGGAACAGAATGCTGTAAGTGATAAGTAATTTAAGTAAAAATAATCGAACATAATTAAGTGGATCCACTTGTCTAATTCTATGCACTGTGATAGTTAGGAAAAATACCGTAACCAGTGGCGTAGCCAGCAAATGGTGACCAGGGGTTCGATTTTCTATGTATCCACAAATCTTCCCCTTCATCGGTGTACCTCACAAAAAAGCATTTTTTGTATTTGTCATACATACAATGTACACTCCTCCAAAAGTTTGGCAACAATTTGATTTTCTACGTTGAAATAGTTTTAGGTGAATCTTTTACTGAAAAGATATTGAAATCTGGTAGCAAAATCATACATTTAAATTTTACTGCACTTGTTTAATTGTTCAATGGAATCCAAATCAAGGGTTAGCATACATTGAGCCAACTTTTGTTAAGGGAAAATTATAACATATCTCTGAGGAACATGTTTTTGACGAGCTACCATTGATAAATCGTCATTCCCAATTCATGTTTTAGAGTTCATTCAAAGATATTCAGATACATGCTATTTTCCCACACTTTTAGATGATTTTTGAAAAGAATCCAAATCAAAAGAATTTGATTTATATTTCATTTTGTAAGACCTCATGAACTTACAGTTATTTACTGAAAACTAGTTTATTCATAGCAAATATTTTTGAAGAATGTAATACTTATTTAATCATGGCGCACAATAAAAGTCGTAATGGCTGCACGAATACTCTCAATTGGTACTGACGATAAAAGTGACAGATGACAAATAGTATTGTATTACATATTATGAAATGAAACATTCTATCACCGTTCCGCTGTTTTTATCATTAATGACGAGAATCATGAATCTTCTGAGAAATGAAAACATTTTAGATGAACTTGTGAATCATTATAGACTTTGATTTGTTTTTGAGAAATTAACGTTTTATTATTTTATTCAAGAATGCTGCCAAATCTTTTTAGACACACGATTTGAAACTTGTGGTAGGCCAATCCTCTGTCTTTCTGGCAAGTACACTCCCCTCCAAAAGTTTGGCAACCTAAGCTCCCTGCCTCCTCTTTATATTTGAATTTTTATTTACATAACCTGTGGGGAAAATACTTATAATATTGATTAAAATGTAATTTGATTTCACTTCCAATGCCTCCAAATTTTCCCATTTTTTTACCTCTTTTGTTGAATTTTTTAATCCGCTGGTGATTATCAGTGGATCAGTTTTTTAGAAAATAAAAAGTGATTATCAGGAAGCAATGCATATTGGTACACCATGTGATTTTTTGATATTTTTTATTATGAACTTTTTCCCTTAACTGTATGGCATTATTTTTGCTTCTTTATTCATTAAATTCAAATATATTCGATATATGAAATATTAATATTCGCTAAATCATTTTCCATTCGGTAAAAACGTTTATATGTTTGTTACAGCAAATTAAGTTTTCAAACTAGCCAATCATTTAATACCATGTGCATTAAATTACATATTTCATTCGCTAAATGATATGTTTTTTGCGTAAATTGTTAAGGTATTTCTTAAGAGTAACACATTATATGCACAATATTGAATTTCTATTTGAACCCTACCAAAATAAGTTTGCCTATATTTACCGAATGGATTTTTTTCTATGACATAGTTAATGCATTTTACCGAAAGCTAATTTGCTATTTACCTAATGCAATAAAGTAATATTCGATAACTTTCGTTGTTGTTCGATATTTTGTCACGTGACCTCGAGATTTGCAAAATGGCCGCGCAGCTATTCTACATCGTTCAAATATATCACGTGACTGAAAGTCTCGTAGAGTATCGAAAAATAATGAAATTTAACGAATGTGGCATTCGGTATTTATCGAATATAAATAATTTAAATACCGAATGTACAAATAATTAATTGAATTATACGTGCGTTAAGGATACGCTGCATCACACAAATACATGTACACTGTGTATAAATATCAAATGTGAATGCCAACACAAAGAACAAGTGAAACTATTTAGCGAATATAAATTGTATAGATTATTACATTCGATAAAATAAAAAAACATTCGATAGATTTGGTAAAGGTTTGGTAAATTGTTTTTTTTATTTGGTATTCATGGAATATTTAATGTACCGAATAAAGAAGCAGTTTAAACTCCATATAACTGTGAGAATGTAATACTCATTTGAAATAATAAATCTAGACTTATTTGATATAATCCTTCTTACGCCTTTGCTTTCCTCAGCAAAAGATGACTGCATCTGACCTTTTTATTGGACAGAACTTTCCACTGCACGTAATGTGTGTACCTTTTACACTTGTATCTAGTAACACAGACATACTCACCTAATTGCCTCCCTTAATCCATTTATTTGCGAAACATATTATAATTAATGTCATAAACGCGATCCACTAAAGTTTGATATTCTTGAAAATAGAGTAAATACTTAATACACTGAAACAGCAACATTTTAATCTTAAAATGATCTCCGAGATGAACGTGCATCTGAAAAAGCAAAACTGATTTTTTCGCAATCGATTTATTTTTCCTTAAAAAGTGATGGATAATAAATACCCATTCGATCAAATACTTGTGTTTATAAATGATACATATGCTTTTAATAATAACTCATTTCAAAATGTTTATATTATTTAATATTTGCTTTTGAGGACTTGTCAGACCCGGGGACTTAGCAAGAATTTTTTTGTTTGAAATAAAACAAAACGGAGGGGCACAGATTTGAAAGAAAATGTGTTTTCATCAGTATTAAGACAATTTGTTTATTTCACTGTAGATGGAGCAGCTTTTTATTGATTTTTTTTCTTTGCATAATGTCATAATGCTCCGGGGTCTTCCCAAAATTAAACAATCCCACCCCGTGCCTGAGGTTGCCAATCTTTTGGAGAGAAGTGTAAATTTACTATTTTTATCTACTAGTCATATAAATTGAATATATGTTATTGGTTATTGCAATGAATTTTCCACAAATATTTTTGGGGGGAATCCCGACCGGGGGTTCGTCCGAACCCATCGAACCCCCGGTCCCTACGGCTATGGTATGCATAGTCGTCATTCTTTTGAATCTCAAGATTTTCAGGCATTATTTCATCAACCAGAGAACCGAACAAGAAAACACATAAGACACATAAGACACCAATCATAAGAAAGACAAAGCAACGATCCCTAATCACTCGGAATCCAACGTGAAAGAAACAATGATGTTTGTTTGTTTCTGATGTCCTTATACACAACGAAATCAAAGTACACGTTTATTTTTACATTAATTCTATTACTTGACAGCTAGCTTGATCATTACGGATAAAAAATACTGTCTATTTGATTATACATAATCATTCCACCGGGAGTTGTATACATTTCCTGTAGCCTACTAATGTTGATGAAGGATATTATTTCAGTGTTGGTATCATCTGCTATGCTTGTTGTTGGTTGAATGCTATTGCCCCGGGATCTTGAACGTTGGGGATATCATGTCTCTAAGATGATATCCTCCAATGTCAAATTAAACAATTCCAAAGAACCAGCAGTATCGAGAGGTTTCAATGATACAGCCACTTACACCTGTGTTAGTTGCCACATCCTTAGCACAATCTTTCACCTGTGTCTTTTTTACATTCACATGATCATCACGCAGCAGTGGCGGATCCACAAATAAACAAGGGGGACCCAAATTTTGAGTTTGGAAAAACCAGAACTAGGCAAAGGCAGCAGCCCCCCCCCACACACACCCCAATTAAAACTAATGCAGATGCTTTATTTTTTATTTTTCTTCTAAGATATAACTGTGCATTGTTTACAAATTGCAATTACTACGTTGAGGGACACCTATAATGCCACTGGCGATTGGGTCCCTCATGTATGATATGTACTTATAATGATTAATGCCCCCCCCTCCCGGATCCGCCATGGCCACTGCACAGTAAGGCGTTGTTACTGCTGTAGTTGTCCTCACCACTTATAACAAAGTACATCATCTAATAACCCGTTGAAAGGACTGCTGTCGAAAATGGCTTTATTTGTGCATTTTAACATATTTTAAACTCAAAAACATAATATTGAAAATGTGAACATTTTGACTTTTGATATGTGTCATAAAATTTAAGAAGAAGTCGGATTGAAAAATACACAAGTAAAAGGGAAATCTAATATACCACTAATACATCACCAATTATATATCACAAATACACCATGAAAAGTGATTTATAGTCAAGTGGTTTGTAAGTTTTTTGTAAGTTCAACTAATAAACCACCTGTTAAGTCAATGGCAAAAAGTGGTCTGTTAACGGAAATCGCCACTAACAAATCACATATAGAACATGGCATTGTTCTACTAGTTGAGTATTAGTAGTCTATTAATGTATTAGAGTGGTATGGCAAGCTGTTTTTTTCACATGGGAAGATATCAGATTTGCAATTCTGAGAAAATTTGCCATGCCAATTAATCCTCAATTTTGATACACAATATTTACCCTTGACCTCTTTTCGGGCACCATATCTGAAAACGGAATTTAGCATAAACAGCTTTTTAGTAGACTCATGAACACCAGCAAACGTGTGTGTTGTGACATATATTGACAAATAGTATTTTTTTACCCAAGTTTGCTCAACCTTTAGGCTGAGTAATAAAACAAAACTTTGAAAAGT